TGGCCGGGATGTCAACATAGCCACGTGGACACTGCACAACTCGAGGGTTTGAGCTGGTGGCTTCTCTTGATTCCTCTGATTCTGGGCTGAGCCCAAAATGTTTCCACTTTGAATGTTATAGCCTACCCAGGTTCTTTTACATGTTGGCCACAGCAGCAGGAAGGCCCCTTGGGCTCATGGACCCTGCCCTTGCCCCAGACTCGGGGGTTTTGGGCAAGGCCATGGCCAGATCCACCCCCTGAGGAGACATAGGGCCGTGCCTCTGGTGGGCTGGAGGCCTTGTGTGGTGCAGGTCAGCACGTGTGCCCCATAGCACGCTGGCGAGGCCGACAACAGCACCCCCTCGTCCTCTTGTTCCCTCAGTGCCCCGGCCCAAGCCACCACGAGTCGGCTTGCATGTCCGAGACGCTTGTCTTTTCCAGGATGTCATGTCAGTGACATGATGCATCTGAAGTTCATGCCTGTCCTTGGGTTACTCCCCTGTGCTTTGCCCTGCCTCGCCCTGCGGTGGCCAGTCTTGATCCCTAAGTGTCTGCCTTGGTCAGCAGTGGCCCCAGTGCTCTGCCATGGTCAGCCATGACCCCCTGAGCACGGCCCTCCCGTGGCCAGCTGTGGCCACTGTCCACTCACCAGCTCTGACTCTGGAGCTGCCAGGCTGCTGCAGCCCCTCAGTAGATTCTCCCCTGAGGGGTTTCCTCCGCCAAGTGCAGAGTAGGTGGGACTGGGTGGCCAAGTCTGTATTGAGGGCCCCACAGTGCAGCAGCTGCCTCAGAGCCACGCTGTCCCTCCCGCACCCACGGTGTCCTGCTGGAGCAGCCTCCCTGCTCAGAGCCTGCTCGTACCCCCACGCGCACCATGGCGCCCATGGCCTTGCAAGCCGCCTGCTCCGGCAGCCCTGCCTGGACGGGGCAGCCCTGGCATGGTTGCTTTCTTCTTGGTGCATGCTGAAAGTTATGTGTTCCAAATGCCAGTCCTTTAATCAAACCACTTGCAGATACTTTGTGCCAAGTCATGGCATCTCTATCCTCGACTCGCTGCTCTCAAAGCCCAGAATTTCCGCTTCCAATAGTCCTGCCTTGATTTCTTTGGCTTTATTTTCGGGGTTGCATTCAGAACTTCGTGTCTAACCACCCCAAAGCTTTTCTCCCAAGCTCTCTTCTGGAAGGTTTGAAGTCTTCGCTCTTGTATGGGGACAACGTTTGGTTCTGAGTCAGTTTTGGGTGTGGCTGGACACGTGGCCATCTCAACATGTGGACACCGCATCTGCCTAGAGCGCCCCCCTGCCCTTGGCCTGCTCCCCACAGCCAGGCTTAGCTGGCTGGACATGGCCTGTGTCCAGTTCCCGACCCCCGCCCCCTCCTTTCTCCCCACCGCCCCTTGTCCCCTTGTCTCACAGGGGTCCGGCAGCAAGGTGGGTGGGTCTCCCCTGGCTTTCCTCAGAGCACCTAGAGCACCATGAGGATTAGTCACGGTGCCCACACGCTGCATAGGTGGGGTTGGGACGGTGCTGACCAGCGGGACAAGGGCTCCCAGCATCGCCCACATTTGCCCACAAGCAGCTGCCCCCACCGAGGACCTCGCTTCACCCTCAGAGCTTTGAGGCTTACAGCACCCAAGCAGGCTCCAGACCCACTTGCCAAGCTCCACCACACCTGTGGCCCTTCCATTGTATGAGTTCCTGCTTTTTAAAGGTAAATTTTAAATTCTTCAATCTGATTCTGTAACCACTGGCCCTGGTCAACTCCCTCCCTAGTTCTGGAACCTTCATTACAGAACCTACGAGGTTTCCTAAGGAGTTGTGTCATCTGTAGACAGAAAGCCCATTCTCCCTGTTCTCACCCTGTGTGAGGTGCTCCTTCCCCTAGACTGTGCAGACATGGAGGGCCCCCGAAGACAGTGCCCCCGCCCCACCGGTGGCCAAGGAAGAAACCAGGACCTTCCTGGTGGTCTCGCTGCTTCTCTGCAAGCACGCTTGGCCAAACAGAGGACAAAGGCCTCTGGACAACTCCGCCGCAGGTGGGGGCTGTCTCCACAGCCTCTCCAGACCCTTCCCAGGGACTGGACAGGGGTCAGGCTTTAATGCTCTCCAACCCTGCCACTTCACATGGGGCGCACTTCACAGGGAACCCCAATTTTAACTCGACAGTGAGTCCATGAAACCAAGAAAGTGGTGACACTTCAATTTTGTGACTAGCCTTAGAACTACCCACCTTCTGTAAACTCCTGAATTACTGTCTGATTCACCAGAACCTGCGGCCTCTGTAGGGAGAGGCAGCAGCAGGGCTGGTCTCTGTGGCTCCACCTAGGTCTGTGTGGCACTTGCTCCTCAGACCCCTTTTATATAACAGGGAGCAGTCTGGATTGTTGCGTGGACCAATCAGGTGTGAGCTATAAGCTGATTGGTGCTAAATGGTCCACATGGGCCAATCAGATGAGAGTGGGGCTTTCTGAAACAGGATATAAGCCAGAGTCAAGGAGCCGAATGTCAGATGATACCAGCCACTGAATATGACAGATGGTTCCAGGTCCCAAAAAAGAGAGACAGTTCCAGCCACTGAAGAAAGAAGGGGAAGACTCCACTCCTGGCCTCCAAAGAAAGAAGAGTAGCATCGAGCCGCCACCCTTCAAGGAGGGAAGAGAAGCTGAAGGGCTCTGTCATGATGGGGCACTCAGTCCTTTCTCTGACATCACCTGAAAGTATCCCCAGAGGCCTCGAGGCTGGTGTCTCCACGAGCTGGTATTGCCCAGCAATTCACAGAAATTTTAACTCTGGGTGTCTCTGACACCACCTCAGGGGGGCAGTAGTGACCATAACTACTGGGCACTGCTGTTTAGCAACCAGCAGTGACCATCACTGGGTGAGGCAGCCACCATGTGTGGCACAATGAGCTCTTCATTTCCTGTTGGATAAAATAAACCCTTTGGTGGTAGTTCCTGGAGCTCCAGGTTTCTTGCAATTGTGGGTATGGGTGAGAACCTCAAACAGTGGCCTGTCCTCTGTTGGGCCTGTCCTTTGATTGGCTCTTGTCACAGGCCCGTTTTATGGGTACCCTGTTGCTATAGCCTTTGGTTCTGATTTTTGGCCTTTGGGGGCTGTTTGGTGGCTGTCTGCTCTCAGAATCTAGGCAAGGAGGCAGCCAGTCCATATGTCCTTCCGGCCTGCTGCGCTGACCACTCCTAGAAGCAGAGGTTTTAGTGCAGACGTCAAGGTTTCAGTGTGCAGTCTTTTTCTAGCACACACTCCTCCCAGCACTGGGGGAATAAAAGCTCACAGGGCGCTTCAGCCACACGGGAAACTACCTCCCTGGCAGCACCTACAGGTACGTGCCAGAGGAGTGAGGCAGGGTGCCACCCAGGCCTGGGGGCAGGACACTGTGCGCAGCAGGAGAGGCGGAGCTGGCGGGAGCCAAGGAGTGGCCCCACCATGGCCCAAGACCCTGGGTGTGTCCCCAGCTCCTCACCTGCTTGGGGTGGCTGCCAAGACTGCACCTCACGCCCGAGGGCCCCTCCAGTGTGCAGGCTGTGGCCAACCCAAATCCAGGCCCTGTCAGCTCCAGTTCGGGAGGGCGCCTGGGCTTGGCCACTGGCCTCCTGAGGGGAGGGGCAGGAGCTCCACCCCTCCTGAAGGGACCCCCAACCCACATGAGGCCCTGGCCTCAGGGCCCCTCCTAGACTTGATGCCATCTCCAGGGGGTGGGCTCTCAGCATGTGATTTAAGGGGACAGGGGCATTCAGCCCAGGCAGGCATTTGTGGGTGTGTGGAAGCACCAGTCGGCGCAGGGACTGGCATGCCCTCTCACCTATTTTCTCCACCGGCGTGTTGAGAGGGAGGAAGCCCTGTCTGAGGAGCTGGCCCACCATCTCCTCGTCGTCCGCTTGGATCTCGGAGACCATGTTACAGGGGATGAGGCCCAGCCGCGCGCACGTCTCCCCGCGGTAGAACCCGTCCGCGTCTTTATCCCCGTAAACCTGGGGCACAGGAGCGGTCAGGGGCTGCTGCCGCGGGCAGAGCCACGAGACCCTCCTGTGCCCCCAGCTGCTGTCCCCAGCACCCTGCCCTACCTTGAGGCTCTGCCTCCCCTCCCCCTCCCCAGGGCCTGCATCCGAGCCCCCACCTTGATGACCTGTCCTTCTTTAAAAGGGAGCTCCTCTTCCGCAGCATCAGGGTTCGGAGACATGGTGAGTGGGTCATAATCAAAAAGAGCCACGAAGACCCGGGCAGGCAGCTCCTCAGCTCCAGGGTCGGTGTCTGACTCCTCGTAGAAGTCTGGAGAGAGCCTCTCCCGCCCGCCGTAGTCATCTAGAGTGTGGGGGACACACGAGAGCAGTGGGTGCCCGCGGGGCCCAGGAGCCGGGCCATGCCGGTCACCGTGTGGTGTGGGGGTGAGGGGCCGGCAGCCCATGTGATCAGCATGGCGGCCCAGCATGGCCCCTGGGAAGTCTTTCAGGGAGAAGCTGAGCAGACTCCTCCCTGGGGGTTGACCAGGTGGGACCAGACTCTCCATTTCTGTAAATCAGGGGAGACATTTTTCTTATATTTAGGAACCCCAGAGGATATGGGAAGTATCCCACGCCCCGCTGACTAAAGATGCATTTAGGAAGCGTGAGGCCTGCAGGCTCAGAAGCGCCAGGAAAGGAGATGGCGCCCCAGGGCCGAGTGTGTGAGGACCCTGAGACTGGGCTCTTGCCAGGAGGGGCCCCCATGGACAAAGCCTGGGGTTCTGACTGCCGCCCCCTGCCTCCAGGTCTCTGCCATGGGCCATGCTGGGGCAGCTGTGAGTCTCACGTCACTGTCCCTCTGAAAAGGCCGTGGACCCTTGTGTGCGACTCGCCCACCCTCAGCCCCTCCTGGGAGGCTGGTCCAGCCGGCTCTGTGCTCACACCTGGGCTCGGGCTTTCCCACCATGTTTGCAGCCAGGGCAGCCTCCCCGCTGCCGTCCAGTGCACTTGGCCTGGCTAAAGTGGCAGAATTCGCAGAAGGACCCAGGACAGTGGGCAGGCTGCAGACCCAGGTCCCGGGCAAGCGGAGGATAGCGAGCAGGGACCACGTCCCTCAGGACCCATCTGCTCCCCGCCTCACAGGAGAGCCGTGCGCCCGGGGTTCTCCTCCCATGGGGTTCTGCTGAGCTGCCCTGCCACCATCCAGGCACAGCAGATGTGGGAGACACAGGGCACAAAGTCCTGGTGTAGCCTCCTGCCAACACTCAGGGTCAGGCTCTGCCACGCCCCCCGCCTGCTTGGGCCGCAGGTAAGAGAACACCTGTGTCTAGCACGATATGCTGTTCCTTGCATCCCTGAAGGCGGTTTAACTGAAGCCGGGGAGCACAAGAGCACAGGCCCACTCACCAATGGCCGGGCCAGCCGCCGGCCGGGACCGCTGGGCACCCATGCCGCCATGGGAGAGCCTCCGGCCCACGGGGTCCATCCTGTCCGGCCGGCCGGCCGATGCCGGGTTCCCAAGGATCTAGAGACAAGCACGGCCGGGAGTGAGTCTCACCGCCTTGGGGAGGGAGGGGTTAACCAGCCAAATCAATCAACTTAGAAGCAGAAGCTCTAAAGGCAACTAAACTTAGCTTTTAACTGAAAGGTTAGCTGATTGACCTGGAAGAGAAAAAAGCTGTTCACCCCAGGCACCCCGTCTTCTACCGCGGAGTCATTTTTGCAGCACACGGGTGGTGGTGAAGGAGGTATCTGTGGCTGCAGAGCTACCGAAGCCAAACACTCGGAACCAAGTGAGGACGGCGACCCTACCGCTCACCGCCCACCCGGGCGCGGGCCTCACCTAGTCCCCGGCGGCCTGGCCTCCTCTGGGCCCCAAGGAGGGGCCAGACTGGGGCAGAGCTGTGTGCGAGGTTCCCGCCAACTCAGACACAAGTTTCTGCATGTCATCGGCTCTGAAACTCCAGGTGACATCGCGACCCTACTCTGAAGACACCCGTCATTTTGGGGGCTCACCGAAGGGCTCCCCTTGACGGCTAAGTTTGCCTTTCTTCGTTTGCACTACAGGCTGGACTAAGAGAATCAAAGCAAAGCCTCCAGCTCGCTGGTGGTAATTTGAGTCAGAAGTTCTCAGGACAGAGGGAACGAGCAGGGCTCGGGCAGCTTCAGATGTGCTTGTTACAGGCGGGAACAGGGCGTGCGCAGCCCACGGCAGTGAGTCAGTGGGTTACAGATCGGCGCCCTCTGGTGGACATAGCGCAAACTGCGCTGGCCTGGGCCGCGAGCAGGCTCACCTGTTTTCATTGAAAAGTTCAGCATGACAGGAGCAAATTTTCTGAAAAGAGGACACAATATAGAGATGAATGAAGCCTGCAGTGAACCCTGCTCTTGCCATCCACTAATAAGCCTGCGAGACAAGGCGGGGCCGTCTAGAGCTGACGAGGCGAAACTCATTCTGAAAACTGGAGGCGGGGCAGATGGGGGCTTTGGAGACTACACAAAAGCCGCCTCTTCTGTAATCGGTCTCGGGTCTCTCCAGTGACGGGGCTCCGATTCCCGCGCCAGGCCCTCGGGGGGAACAGCCTCGACGACTCCCATCGTCAGTCCCTCAGGTGCATTTTGAGAAAAATGAGTGTTGCCAAACTTTGGGACCGTCTTAGTTCAGCTAACCCTTAATTAAAATTTAGATTCAGTTGTCCTTTATTAAAGCAGCCAGAACCATCGCTGAGTCTAGGGAGGGGAGTTATTATTCTAAAGCAAGGGAAAGGAATCTCCAGCAAGGTCAAGAGACCGGGAAGCAATGCAGTTTAGGAAATCAAATGCGTGGGAAACAGAGCCAGCAGCGCCCGTGCCGGGATGGCCACCAGGGAAAGATGGAGATGGAGATGGCTGTCGGCAAGCAGATGTGGGCAGAGGAACGCGGCACACACCCCAGGGCCTTCCGCCGCCCAGGCGGGGGGCGGGGCGGCGCAGCCCGCGGCCCTGCGGCCCGGCGCTCGGTCGCCTTTCTTCCACGCCTCCCGGACAGCTCCGGGCCCGGGGGGCTCTTCCCAGCCATCCTTCCCGGGGGCGGGTCTCTCGGGGCTGGGCTGGGCGTCATCGCTCCTGATGACGTCGCCGGGGCCCCCCGGCTCCCCAAAGTCCTCTTCAATGCTGCTCTGCCGGGTCAGTGTGCGCCGCCGGGCCAGCAGAGGCCGCAGGCCCCTCCGGCAGGGACAGGGCCCCGGGCCCGGGCCGCACAGCGAGGCCGGGCGCCGGAAACTAAAGCGTGACTCCTCCTCTTCGCTGCCACAGTCCAGGCCACTGTCCGGGCTCCGGGTGGCCCAGCGGCCGAAGCGGCAGCTCCTGTCTTCCAGCAGGGGGTCCTCGGCGTGGGGGCCCGCCCCTGGGGCCCTGGGCGTGGCCGGCAGCCAGGAGCCCTGTGGGGCCACATCTCCCCAGCCCGGCCGGGTGGGCCTGCGCACGCCTACGACCCGAGGCGCGCCCCCCGCGCTGGCTCTGTGCCAGAACTCCCAGGGCTCCCCGTCCTCCTCGGCCACCTCAGGGATACTGAACAGCTTCTTGCTGTGCTGGGGCTGCTCCAGGAAGGTGCCGTCGGGGCCCCAGGGCCGGGAGCAGTCCTGGGGGCACGTGAGGACAGGGAAGGGGTGTGTGAGCAGCCGTGAAGTGGGGGCATGGGAGGAAAGAAAACAGACAGGATTAGTTTCGAGGCTCCTCTCCTGGGGGGGCATGCTCTGTGGGCTCTGGAATGAAAACAGAGTGGGTTAAGGGGTGCCAGGGCAGGGCAGGGCAGCGCAGACCCAAAGCACCTCTGGGGAGCTAGGCCAGCACCAGCGAGCACTGGGCTGAGGAAAGTGGCGCTGACCGGCCCGCAGAGGAGGGCACTGTGCACTGAGCGGCCTGTCCGGCCTTGGGGTCTGCACCTACTGCCTGCCAGCTGCAGCCCCAGAGCTCAGGAAGCAGCCGTCCGCAGGCCTGGGATGAGCCACAGCAGGCGGCACCCACCCGGACTGCTGCCCTTCGCTCTGCTGCTGCACCTACTCCCCGGTCCCTTCCTTCCTGTCACCTGTACCCACTGCCGTTGACCCCACACACAGGGGCCTATCCCAGGGCCTGGACACAAATGACCTGGCACCACGGCACAGCCCTGCAGCTGCTCACTTTTGCTAAGGGGACAGTGAGGCCAGCACACCAGGTCCTGAAGTTTCTAGACTGGGTCTCTGCACCCTCCCACTTCTTAAGCAGAAAGTATGTGCATGGTGGGGATGGGGAGCGGGAACCTGCCTACTGCCCCTCTGCCCTGCTCACTGGACACCTGCATGGTTACACTGTATGGCTGTTCCCAGGGCCTGTGGGTGGGGCCTGGTTATGCTCATCGGCCTCCTGCCCCAGGAAGGTCCACCCCAGGCACTCCCCGGAGCAGAGGGGACACAGTGCGGGAGACTGCTAGGCTCGCAGACCCTCGCAGGCAGTTCTTGCTCTGTGGGCAGTGTGGGGCGCCAGGGTAAGAATGCACCCTGCGGGGCTCATGCCTTTCTCTGTCAAGAGAGGTCGGCAGCTCCTGGGAGCCGGGAGCAGGAGGGAGCAGGGACAGGACGGCATGGTCTCCGGATGTGTGAGCAGCCTCTCTGGCCTCTTCTGTGTGCGTCAGCCTGCCGCGTGGCCTTATGTCCACATTCAAAAGGCAAGAGTGTCCCAAGGAGACGCAAGGCTGGCGCGTCCTCCTGCAGCCTCTCCTCTCCGCCTGTGCCCCAGCAGCTGGCTGGCCATCGGCCCCACCCACAGGGCCCACAGCAGTCCACGTGCTGGCTCTCACTGCACCCCCACCTGGCACGGGAGACGGCTCACTGCCCAGCTAGGGTCTGGGACACGGCCAATCAGCAGCAGCAGCCCAGCGGCGCCTGGGCCCGGGGAAGAGGCGCATCCAGCCGCCTGACGCCACGTCCCGCCAGGTGAGGTCCACCAAGAAGGGTTGGCCACCATGGGCGGAAGACAAGGGTGCGAGTCCCTGGTCCCAGGAGCACAGCGCTGTCCCCCATGCCCAGCCCTCCTTCCTTGCCCAGACACCCCTCAGAGCTGCCCCTGGGCACCGTTCCCGGAATCAGCTTTGCACACACCCGCTCCTGTCCCCCGGGCGCTCAGCCCTGTTTGTTCCCAATCACTGCAGTGCCTGGTGAGGAGTGAGGTGTCCCAGCCACAGGTGCACCAGCCTCACGCCCAGACTGTCAGAGGCGGCTCGGGGAGCCCCGTGCAAGCTCCACAGTGAGCCGATCAGACCCAAGTCCGCGAGCGGCGGCTGGCCGCCCCCACAGGGCATGGGAGCGGGCACCTCGGGATGCTCTGGGAGCCACTGACCTTGAGAGCATTGTGGGACGTGCCACTGGGCCGCCGGCGCCCACCGTCCTCCAGCTGCATCTCTGAGTACAGGTCCTCCTCGTCCTCCTCCAGGATGTCGGAGAGGTCGGAGCCCCGGCTGCTCTCCGTGTGGTGCTCATCGCCATGGCAGCAGTGTGGCTGGGCGGGGAGAGGCGTGTGGGAGCCCGGTGCTGAGCCCCGCTCTCCCCGCTGCCCCCTGCTCTGCTGCCGTGACCCGTATGTGCACACGTGTGTGAGCGTGTGCACGCGTGTACAGCCATGTGGGGAGGTGCGGAGCACTGTGGAAGTGTACACAGGCTGGGCGTGCATGAACACTGCTGGGCAATGTCTGCGGGGTGCTGTGTGCTGTGCACATATGTACGGGGGGGCATTTGCACACTTGTGCCCATGTTCAGGAGCGGCGAGCAAGGCCCAACCAGGAGTCATGCTCTCAGGACGCAGGGGAGCTGGCTTCCAAGGGGAACTCAGAGGCCACAGGGGCAGAGCACGGCCCTAGACAGAAGCCCTGAGGCCCAGGGACACCTGCGGTGGGCACCTCGAGGCACGATCAGCGTCCCAGCAGGCTGGCCAGGCCAGGGCTGGAGTCACGTCCATGTGCAAGGGCAGTGGACCTGGGCACGGTAAGTCCACACCGTGGGTCAGGGTGGGTTGGGGTGAAAGCAGAGAGGCACAGCAGGCCTTCACTTTTCTGGAAAAGGTGCTGTGGACTCACACACACGTGTGCCTGGTGGGGCAGTGGGCTGCCCTGGTACGGGCTCCCTCATTCCTCTGGGCGTCCACACAGAGGAGAACTGCATTGTTGAGGGTGCATGGACGAGGTGGGGCAATGTAAATCTCTCCCTTCCCTCCCCCCCCCGCAGAGTCTCTACAGTGCTGAGAGCCCTGGCACATGCAGCAGCGCCCACGCCTGGCCACAGGTGCCAGCCCCGCCCAGCCCAGCAGCATGTCCGCCAGGGCCCAGCTAGGACAGGGCTGCTGCAGAATGCAAGCTGCACAGCACAAGCCTGATTGGGCAGGGCGCTGCTGCTCTGCACGACGCTGCTGACTGAAGGCGGCCGACGAGGCAGACAGTGCAGCAAACTCCTGGGCACGCTATCAAACGCCTGCTCTTAGTGACCTGGGCAGGAGGAGAGTGTGCCCAGCTATTCCCCAGCCACCCCTTTCGGATCCTCCATCAGGTACCGGGCAGGAGCTATGGCACGGGCAAAGGCCCGGCTGGTCCAGTGGGGTCTCCCAGGACAGGAAGGAAAGCCCCAAACAGGCACCTGAGGGTCACTGGGGCATCAGCTCCCCTGCCCCTGCAGTGGAGGGCAGTGACCCACTCACAATGACTCTGGCGCTGACCGCCAGGCCCAGCTCAGGGACCGTCTCCGCAGAGAACAGGCCTTGGGAGTCACCCAGACGGACACTGACTGCTCTGGTCTTCACTGCCAACAGCACAGGTGCAGGCTGACAGGTGCCTGTTAAAAGCTGTGTGCTGGCTGACAGGTGCCTGCCTGGCAGGTGCACACTTGACACATGTGCTGATTCATGTGCTGACAGGTGTGCTGGCAGGTGTGCTGACGTCAAGGCATGTGCTGACAGACATGTGCTGGTGTGTGTTCTTACAGGTGTGCTGACAGCTGTGTGCTGACATGTGCATCGACAGGCGTGCTGACAGCTGTGTGCTGACAGCTATGTACTGAGAGGTGTGCTGACAGGTTTATGTTGACAGGCATGTGCTGACAGGTGTGCTGACAGGTGTGCTGACAGGAATGCTGATGTGTGTGCTGGCATGTGTGTCCTGACAGGCATATGTTGACAGCCATGTGATAATGTGTGTGATGACAGGTGTGTACTGATGTTTACTGACAGATGTGTTCTCATGTGTGTGCTGACAGGTGGGTGCTGACAGGTATGTACTGGTGGAGGCTTTCCTGGGTGGGGCATGACACGGGGCAGCTGACAGGGCTTTGAGCTTGACATTCACTTAGGAGAGAGGAGCTCAGACAGCATCCTGACAAAGCAGTCTCTTCACTCAGCAAACCACCTGCTCCCTCCTTCGGCAAACACCAAAACCCTTCCTGGTCCTGGCTGTCAAGGCCGCCACTCGTTGTGGGTACACAGCACTAGAAGAATCACCGTCACTCCTCGGAACACTCACGGGCACGCCTCTTTATCAGCTCACCAAAGACACATACTCTGCGCAAATGCTGCAGACTCAGAGGCTGCAGAGATGGTTCTGCACCTAGGGGTCCGGTGCCAGACAGTGGGGCGAGGGAGCCATTGTGCAGTGGTCTCTGCCAGGCCATGCTCGCCCAGTGGGGAGCCATTGGGGCCCCATTTCCTTACTGGGCTAGCCTGAGAGACTGCAGGAGCAAGAGCCCAGCCCTGCTGGGCCATGGACACAGCCCTTGTGACAAGGATGAGCAACCTCGCCTGGAGTTGGCCTCCAAGCTGGAGAAGCAAAGGTCTCTGTTCAGGCCGCTGGGCTGTGGCATTTGTCACGGACATCCCAGCAGGCGTAGACAACATGCCATAGAAACACAATTTCCCACATCACCAGAGCCCCGATTCTCTATGAGAGACAGCAGCAAGCACTCCCAGGAAACAACAGGGACAGCACGCAGCCCTGGTCTACCCAGAGGAGTGTGAGTTAAGTCTGGTGGGGCTTCTGGACTGCCTCTCCCCCAGTGAAGCAGAGCAAACCCCAGGAGAAAGCCACATGATGGTGATGGCTGGAGCCTTGGCAGCCACTTTGTGACCACGAGACAGTCCAGAGCCTAGCTCTGGGGGCCTCCCAGCCAAGCCTGCTGCGGCAAGTCACTAGATATCTTTGGCCTCTTTGTTGCTATAGCTGGACATTCTGGTTTTCCATCACACTGACGCAGAGACAGTAACTGAGGCTTACAGATGAGGAAACTGCCCCATGATCACTCTGACTGAGTGGCTGTGAGTCACGGGGCTGATTGTGAGGTGGCCGCATAGAATGTGCCCAGCTGGGCTTCACATGGGTGTGCTCAGACACTGGGCCAATCCCTCTGAGGTGTCCCCAGGTTAGTACTGGCTAGCTAGGCCACCCCTGACCCTCTGATCATCCAGCCTGTGTCGTCCTCGCCATCACCCAAGAACACCTCCATAGGTCCGTGGTGACGGTGATCACCCTGGCAGAACGGAGGTAAAGACCACACCGCTTCACTCCAGCATGGGGCGATTTGCCAGTACCGGCCAAGAATAGGGCTGTGCTGCTCACACAGTGACCAGAAGGCTCCCTGGGGCCTCCCAGGACCTCTCACAACCAGGGCAGCTGAAGGTGGCCACACAGTGCCTGGATGTGAGGGTGAGTCATCTTGCTAGAGCTCACGGGACTGTGGGCAACAGCAGCCCCACCTGGCTCTACACCTGCTCACCTGTTTGCCCAGCTCCGAGCCCCGCAGGAAGTCATCCACTGAGGCTCCCCGACGTGGGGGTTCTGGGGAGCAGTAGCCGTCCTCCTCATCGGAGTCGGCGTAGCGCCCTGAGCTTCTCTCCAGGAACACACTCCTTTTCTCTGACTGGGAAGGAAAAAGGGACAGGGTGACAGGTCAGGAGGGTGGCTAGGGGCCCATGATGCCCGGGCTGCCAGGCAGCCCCCCTCTCGAGACTTTGCTAACTGAACAGAGACAAGCAGCGCCTTGCCCCACACCTGTCACCTGGGCTTCAATTAGTCACGAGCACTTTCTTGAGAGACCAGCAGTGCCCACACCCCTCCACATTCCTAAAGGGGTCTGCTCTGGCCTCTATGGGGTCTCAGCACCTGGCTGAGTAGGGGACACCCCCTACCCACCCAGGGAGCCCCTAAGGCACCCAGCCCAGTGCTGCAGCCCGGCCTCTGCTCTGGGCAGTGCTGACTGCCAGGCCCCTCTGCTCCTGCCTCCAGGCTCCAGCTCCCCATACCCACCACCCCTTGGGGCCGAGGCTGTACCTTCTGGGGCCTCCAGAGGTGACTGAGGGGCCTCTGGTCTCAGGTTTAGGGGCTGTGTCTGTGGCCGGAGTGTCCATGTGCACACTTGTGTGTAAACACGCCTACCCTCTGCGTCATGATGTGCGCACACACATACACCTATGCACGTGCGCTACTACACAGAAGCACACACCACGAAGGGCCTCACCTGGAAGCCAGGTCCCAGGTCGGCCTCAGCAGCCCCATCAGGCCCCGGACAGAGAGAGCCTGGGGCCCCGCTGTCCCCAGCTGCCCCGAAGCAGGCAGGCCCTGGCCCGTCCCCCAGTCATGGAGCGGGGCACCTTTGACTCCACCAGGACCAGGCCGGGACGTGGTGCAGGCGGACACAGGGTGGCGGGTGGGACAGTGCCTTACCCTGCTGCTCTCGGCCACTCTCTGAGCGGCTTCCCGGGCCATGGCCTTGGCGACAGAGGTGGACACGGGGGCCCCCTGCGGCTGCGGCAGGATGCGGCTGGGTGAGGGCGAGCGCCTCCCGGGGCCGGCGGGGGGCTCTAGCATGCGCACGTGGGCAGGGGGCGCCCGGCCCTGCTCCCAGCCCTCATCGGCTCTGACGTGGGGACCCAGGTGCTCGTCTTTGGTTTCCGGGGCTCCGGCACTTGCTAATGGCTTCGGTGTGGGCACAGCTCTGGGGTGGGGGGGTGGAGGCACCAGGAGGTCGGGGGGGATGGCGGCGAGGGCAGAGTCCACCGACTCCCCCTGCGCAGAGAGGGTCCGCACGGTCAGGGCCTTGGCGTCCAGGCTGTGCAGGCGGGCCAGCTCCACGGCCGTGCTGTCCGCCGTGGGTGCGATGAGCTCGGCCACCTGTGCACAGAGAGGGCGGCTGCCAGCTGGCCCAGGCGGTGTGCTGGAAGTCACCCGCAGGTGGCCCACCACACAGCCCGGCCCTCGGGGGCCAGCAACCATTGGCCCTGAGCAGCCACTGGTCGGCCAGGGGGCCGAGACGCGGCGTGAGGAAGGACCTGGTGGTCTCAGGTCAGTGGACAGAAGCCAAGCGGCTCAGAGACAGGACCCGGGGCTGGGCAGGACTTGGACTGAGTGAGGGGAGCCCCTATTGTCCACATGCAGTGACTTAGCAGGCCCCTGTCCTGTCTGCTGGCCACATGCTGCCCACAGACTCGGTTGGGGCAGCACCCTCTTGCCAGCGCTTGGAACCCAGCACCCCAAGGGCTGAGGCTGCGGGGCGGGGGGGTCTGCCCACTCTGGGGCATGTGGGGCTGGACAGAGGGGGGTGCGGCGGGTGGGCAGTATGTGGTGGCCCCAGGAGGTGAGCCCCACACACCCTCTGGCCTTTGGCAAACACCCCGTAGCCGGTTACGCTGGCTCCGTTGGACAGGCCGGCGGCGGTCAGGGCAGGCGGCTTCCAGGAGACCAGGACAGTGGCGGGGGTGGTCCCAGCCTGCACGGTGACGTCCTGCGGGGGAGCCGGGGGACCTGGGGACACAAGACAGATGGGCTCAGGGCAGCGCTGTGGGCAGGCAAGTGGCTGAGGCGCCACCGGTCCTGCCTGCGGGGACACACGCCCCGGGACAGAGGGCGGAGGGGTGGGAGTGGCCGCGGAGACACGGCCAGGCTGTGGCTGTTCCCCGGGGGCGGGCGGGCCTTACGTGAGCACAGGCTGCGTCCCCCGCCACTCAGGGAAGCAGCACCCAAGCAGACACCCCTGCCCTGTCCCTCCGCCCCTTCTCACCCTCCTTACCCTGCCCCTCTCTCCACTGGACAAGAGTCCCAGGGGCCGAGCCCTGGGCATGGCGGGGCAGGCACTAACAGCGCAGCCTGGGGTCCGTTCCCCTTCATGGGGGGCTCCACGAGGCTCCCTTCATGGGGGGCTCCTCCATGGTGCAAGAACCCATCTGCACGCTGACGCCCTGCTGGCCACAGCCAGAGTCCACATCCTCTTACTTGAAGGCAGACGTAGGAGCGCAGGTCTGGGGCTTGCTGAGCCTCAGCGCCAGCCCCCGGAGCCCTGCACCCCATAAGCAGGACCCCGCGAGCATGACCCATAGCAGGACAGGGGGCAGTGCTCTGGGGGCTGTGCCCACACCGTCCTCAGTGGGCACTCAGTCTCCCAACAGCCTGCGGGCTCGGCGGCCCCCACACTGCAGCCAGAACCAGGGTTCAGGGATCCCACTGGGGGGCAGCACCCCACAGCCAGGCCACCGTTCCCGAGCACACAGCTCCTCCACACAGCCGCGAAGCTGCTCAGAGGCCGGCTCAGCATGAGATGCGCTGGGCTGGCCCCTCCGCACTGCTCCTAAGAAAGGTGCCAAGGGCAGAGAAGGGCTAAGGGAGGGCCGGGACCCCACACCCCTGCTCCCCACAGGTCCTGGCTCCCAGACCAGGGAGACTGTGCTGCTTGGCACAGGGCGGCTGCCTGGATGTCAGGCCCCGTGGAGCTGCCAGGAGGAGTCACCTGCATCTTCTTAAATCGGGGGGGGGGGGGGGAGGAGGCAGCCCTACCAGGCGCCAGGATGCGGGGGCTGGCTGCCTGGTTCAGGCCCTGCGGCCAGGCGGAGGGAGGGGTGGCCCGTGGCAGCCCTCCACCTCTCCACACCTGGTGGAGGCAGGGGCGACTCAGCAGCAAGGAGGCGGCCCAGCAGGCACTCACAGAGCAGCGCCCTCGCCGTCACTCCCTCCTGACCTGACACTGGACAGGCCCCACCATGGGTGTGGCACGGGGTGGGGCAGTGAGAGGCCCCGTGCCCAGCCCAGGGTCAGCTCCCGCCTCCCTGCGGCCAACCAGGGCAGGCGGCCTCTATGTGCCCAGGAAACGCAGCTGAAAACGGCCAGAGTGGCCCCACCAGGCCAGCTGGGCGACCCCCAGGACGCCTGGTGGTGGTGCACATGAGCCAGGAGCCCGGCTGTGCCGAGCTCCCAAGACAATGGGCTCCGAAGCCACCGTTACCCACACACCCGGTGCTGTGAGCTGCGGCGTCCCGCCCTGCAGAGCCCATTGGGACATGCCGCATCCAGCAATGGAGCAGAAATCCAGGGTTGGAAACCGAGGAGGAAACCCAGGGAGGGGTGGCCAGAGTGCAGAGGACCCCAACCTCTCTGACCCCACCGCCCTAAAATGCCAGGTGACTCCCATGTTGCATGGGCAGAGCAGAGGGAGCCCGGAGCAGGGGCGGGGAGGGGCTGGCCACTCCACGTGGCTTGCTGGCACCTTGCTAGGGTCGCCACACGCAGCCACCACTTACAGCCCCACTTGTCCCGAATCCAGTTCGGACGGTCCACCAGGACTGTCTCCTGGGGTGCTACAGCCTCGCTGAAAGAGGGCACCTGGCACCCATGGGCCCTGGTATGCTGCTGTCTGCTCAGGGGCCATGGACGCCCAGCTCCAAGCACCTGCAGCCTTGGCCACGTCTGGTCAGACGCCAGCCAGTGAGGGTTTAGGAGTGGCGCCGTGCAGTGAACCAGAGCACAGGCCCTGTGGACGGCAAACCAGCCCCGCCTCGGATTGGGGCTTTCACGGTGCAGACATGCAGGGAGGACAGCAGGCTGCTGGGAGAGTGGCAGCTCGGCGCTAAGGGGGGCCTTGAGGAAACGGGGTGCAACATACTGCTGCTCCGAGCAGGCGGCCTACTCTAGGGGTGCAGGCCTGGTCATGGGGGCCGCTGGGGACTGGGAGGACAGCCACAGGCCGTGCCCCACACAGGCCAGTATGCCAGGGATTCCTGTGGCTACAGGAGGGAGCCAGACCCAAGAGCCAGACCACAGCAGGCCACTGCCCTCCTCTCCCATCCAGATGGGAAGCCGCTGGCCTCTTCCCGCTCAGAGGCAAGGAGCCGGCCCCCCAGAGATGCAGGAAGCCCAGGAGCACGTGTGGTGCCTCCTGCCTCACGCAGATCACGCAGCTGGGATGAGTGGGCCAGTCCCGGACCTGGACCGGGGAGCTGGATGGACGGCCCTGGATCTGGACAGAGCGAGTGCCCGCCTCGCTCTCCCTTGCCTTGTGCAGGGTGAGCCCCTTTGTGATGCAAGTGTTAAAGGAAATCTCTCCAACACCAGGACCCCAAACCACAACCAGGCCCCTGCCGTGTCTGAGGAGCCTCTGGCCAGCTTCGCGGTGCTCCAGCATCGTGGGCAGTAAGCAGCCACCCCCACCCCACCCCGGGAGCCCGTGGGAGGAGGCACACCTGCGGGCAGCGTGGAGAACTCCACGAAGGCCTCCTTCTTCTCCCTCTGCTCCAGGGGCAGCTGCCAGGGCATCTGATGGGGCTTGGCCAGGACCTTGACCTTGTAGGCCATGTTGGGCCTGAGATTGAAGAACTGGTACTTGTACCTGGCGGCCTTGACCATGTCCAGCTCCTCCTCGTTGAGGAAGATCACGTGGCTGTAGTTGCTATTGGTGGGCAGCCAGGACAGCTGGGCAGAGATCTGCGTGATGTTGTCCACGCGCAGGTGGGAGGGCGCCACCGCCACGTCCCTGCCCACCAGCAGCGTGCACCGCAGCTCGTCCGAGCTGCCCTGGCTGGTCACGCACTGCACAGAGATGCGGTGGGTGCAGGCCGCCAGGTTGAGCTTCTCCACCAGGGCCTTGGTCCTGCCGCCCAGGGCCAGGCTCAGGCGGGGCTCCGTGTCCACCAGCACCGTGTAGCTGCTCACGGCGCCCCAGCCCGGCGGCACGGCCGGGGGCTCCCAGCCCACAATGACACTTTTGGCGAGTTGTTTGATCAGGGTGATTTTCCGAGGGTAAGGCACGATGTCTTCTCCAGCGTCGTCAAGGCTCACCTCCAGCGTCCCCGCAGCGTCAAGGGCACCCAGGTCCGTGTGCGTGGGCGAGTGCAGGTCCAGGATGCGCTCCCCCTCCAAGCCCAGCCCCGAGTGGTTGATGAGGTTCTGGTCCTGCTCGCTCCCCAGCGTGCTGGCCAAGCGGGACTCGCTGTCCTGGACAAAATCCACGAAGTTGGACGGTACCAAGCCTCTCTGTCCGTCCAGGAGCTCACCTGCTGGGACAGGACAGCCAGGTCACTGAGCATTTCGGGGCAGGGCTGTACTCAAACAAGGACTCAACTCTCCTTGGCCCCACACAGAGGGGACAGCAAGGGACAGGCAATCCCTCACTGAAGTGTCTGGAAATGAACCAGGGGACAGGAGGGGCTTGCTGGTGCTGGTGGGGATGATGGTGATGAGGAGGATGTGGAGGATAAGGCTGGGAGTGAGGGAGATGGTGCTGATGATGATGGAAGATGATAGCGGTGATGGGCATGGAGACGATGGTGCTGGTGGGGATGATGGTGATGAGGACGAGGATGGGGTGATGGTGAGGAGGATGAGATGGGGTGATGGTGATGAGAGGATGAAGAGAAAGGGGGTGCTGGTGGGGATGTGGTGACGAGGAGGACGAGGATAGGGGTGATGGTGGTGAGAATGAGCATGGTGCTGGTGGGGATGGTGGTGCTGCAGATGGAGATGATGCGAATGACTTACATTATTGAACACTTACTGTTACAGGCCCTACTCTAACCATCTTCTATTCGTACAAAGGAATCAAAAACTTTCAGAAAATGAGGAAGCCAACCCTTTAGAAAGTTGATGTATGAAGCTTCTGGTGCCATCACATTTCAAGGTCAAAAGGTGTCAAAGGGCAAGCATTCTGGGTAGGGGATTTCACGTTTCCTAATTTCAGATCATAGGAGATGACCATGAAGGGCAGTCAGCAGCTGGTGGGGCCAGATCACACTAGATGAATGGTGGCCACCCTCTGGGGTGAGAACCTCTCCCATGAGAGGTCGCAGGGACGGGCCCTGCCCAGGGGAGCAGGCGCCCGGGCAGCAGGAGTGAGCGGGAGCTGCAGCCCCATGCATGGGAACAGCATCTGGGAGGCTGCGGAGGCCGATTATAGAACACCCACTGAGAGTCAGGGTCCGCCTGGAGTTAAAAGCTGCAGCCCCTCCCAGTCGTCCCAAAGGGGAAAAGCTGTTGACTCTGAGGCCAGGAGGGTTAGAGCAGAGAACTGGGCCATCAGGAGGGAGGGGCCTGCCTGCCCCAGAGGCACTTGGAGGTCAGGCTGGGGGCGCTGCCGCCATCCCTCCACATGTTAACAGAGACCTTCATAGAAGCCATCCTCGTCCATGTCCCCATAGATGTAGAGGTACTTCCCTGCCGTGAGGGGCAGCTCGGCTTCCGGGTTTTCATTTGGCCCATCGAAGGGGTTGTAGCTGAAGAGAAAACAGCCTTTGTCAGTAGGCACGGAAGGACCCCAGTGGCTCTCCTGCAGCCAGGGCTGGCACCACCTCTCCCTGGTGCTGGGAAACCTTGGGGGGTGGAGGTGCAGGGGGGGCCTTGCCCTATGTGTGCCTTCGCTGACTCGCCCCAGATTTCAAACAAAGACCGTTCTGAAACCAAGTGGCAGCTGGGGAATCTCTGCACCAGATGACACATTCATGGATCGGATATTTCTGTTCAAACTCCTCTGCTGCTATAACTGCACATTCCTAAGTTAATAAGAAATCAATTCTAACATGTCAATATAATTCCATAGCAATGGCAGAATCACACTACATGTGATTACCGTTTACAGCTCGCAGAATAGCACAACTTCCATCTCATAAGAGGGTCTAGCAATACCTTTTCGTGGGTGTATGATATTCCACAGAAATAGTTCCACTGAACGCTTCCACGGAAAGCATGGTGACCTTAATGTGCTTTGTTTACCCCGTTTCCTAATGGTTACTTAGGGGATGACTGTTGCTCCAATCTCTAATTTTGGTTAATGTAATCAGTTTTACTTCAAATGTCCATATAAATGTCTCTTTCATGCTCACATACATTCTCCCTGAGCGTCAGTCCCTGGAAGTGTGTGGCTTTGGCTAAAAGGACTGGGGGAAATCTGTGTCTCATTTTATCTCCCCCCACTCCAGGAGAATTCACACCACAGTCTCCAGTCCTCAAGATATTTTTTGAAGTCAGGTACAACTTGCAGATTAAACATCTGTCAGCTAGCCTTCTCATTAGTAGGCTGATTAAGTAACAGAAAACCCACATGACACTACTGATGGGGAAAGGTGGAAGAAATTGACAGTCACGCGCCTTAATATGGTGACAGTGGCTCGGGCCCACGTGTGTCGGCCAGCACACTCCTGCGCTGGCTTAACTGGGTCACCCGGAAGTCTCAGCGAGGAGCACCAAACAGAGACAGCAATACCGGTTACACACGTGCCGTGCTTACTGTGTTGCAGCAACTGTGCCGGTTTTAATGACAAGTGATGGGGACCTGTCAAGAGCTCAGCTGGGAGCAGAGCTGGGCCTCCTGACCTCCGGACAGCCGGCTGCAGCCGTCCTGCCACTGTCCACACCTGCAGGTCAGCCCCAGGTGTGGCAACACGGAGGGAGGGCCAGGGCAAGAGGGTGCAGGTGTCTCCTGCAGAGGGAGCAGCGTGTGCAAAGGCCGGGGGGCAGGAAGGGCTCCCCAGTATCTGTGCGTAGGGAAACAGTCTTTGCAGACGGACCCAAATTAGCTGGGGCCCTCCTGAGTGTGGGTGCCTAGCCCAGGGCCGGGGGTCTTTATGAAGAGAACAGAGGACAAATGGAGGCAGGGTCATGTGGAGACAGGCAGAGATGGGAGGGGCACGTCACGGCCAGGGGGCCTGGTCCCCAGGGACTGGACAAGGTGAGGCTCCATCCTGGTGTCTCCGAAAAGTAGGCCCACGACGCCTGATTCAAATGTCCAGCCTCCAGAGTGGAATCGCTTCCTGATGTGTTAAGCCTCCCGGGTAGACAGCTGGCTCGGGGCCCCAGAGCAGTAAGACCCACAAGAGCCAGGCTCCCCATCAGAAATGGGTGCTCAGGGCGCAGGAGGGGCCCTCTTACCTGTAGCGGGCGACACACAGGTGGACCTTCCCTGAGTATCTCTGCCTGGAGCTGCTGGGACTCCGGTCATTGTCCATCTATTGAAGACATGGAGGGGCTCAGGGAGCCAAGAACCCTGAGGGCGCCCTTCCCGGACCCCGCCCACATGCATCTGAGAGTTGCTGGCCCCTCGCTGCGGACTCCCGGGTGATGTTTCACAGGAACGCATCTCAAGCCAGACCCTGGCCAGCCTTGGGGGCGAATGGACAACGATGCTGAGAAGAAGATGGACACTGTCAGGGCCCCCCGGGGTCCTACCTGGAGGAGGTGACAGCAGAGGCGAACCCCTCCAAACCCCCACCCATGGGGTCTCCCCACCCCACCGCGGCCTCAGGCTGGGGTGGGGGAGGCCCGGGCTGCAAGAGAAGCATGGACTTTGCCCGGGGAGGAGCCCCACACCCGCCCATGGACGACACTCACGTCTGCTTCAAATCTGCATCTTGGGCTGCTGGACCTGGACAGAAAGGTGGGCTTGGCAGACAGTGGGTCGTCTCCAGGGAGCGGGAGGGGCCGGACGAGGTCCCCGATCACAGTGTGGCCCCCCACTGTGCTCTCGTGGCCTGCAGGAGTGGGGCTGTGTGAGAAGGCGCCACCACCCCCAGCCTGCCCAGGCCACAGCCCCCATACCCCTGCTGCCCCTTGGGGTCAACCGCTGAGGGTGGCGCGGTTCACAGAAGGATAGCCAGGGAGCACTCAGAGGGACTGGCAGGCAGGGAGGTGCAGGGGGCAGCCGCAGGGACGGGCAGTCTGGGTGGGACAGAAGCCTGCCGAGGGTGGAGCTGTGAGGAGGACCCGGCCGCCAGGTCAGAGCCGGGCACTGCTGTCCCGCTGCTCAGAGGCCAGGAGGGCCCAAGTGATGGACTCGCGGGCTGGGCCGGATGCTTGGGCACTGGGCGCCAGCCGAGCACCCAGCCCTGCGCAGTCTGGACTCTGGTGCTGTGGGCAGAGGAGTGACGAGGCGCCACTACCTTTGCTGATGGAGGCAGCAAGTCCGTTCATGAAGCGCGGGAAGGGCTTGCCGGGGGGCGCAGGCACTTCCAGGGGCGCCGGCGGGAGGCTGCCCAGCAGGTCGATCCTCCCGGCCTGCCTCCGCAGCGCCTCCAGGTCTCGGGACAGCAGGCTGAACTGCTCACTCTGCGCGCGGCACTGCTCCTCCAGCTCCCTCACCTTGCTCTGCGCGGACAGAGAGAGGCAGTCGGGTGGGCGGGGCGCCACGAGCACACCGTGCTGGGCGCCGGCGTCCGCGTGCACACGTGTGTGTGCACGTCATGTGCTGCGTGTCCATGTGCCTGCTCGTGCCTGGCCGTGTGCCCAGTCTCAAGTGCGCCCGTGTGTGCTGTCTCGTGCACGCCTGCATGTGTGGTGCGCGCGTGTGGCATGTCCTGTGTGTTCTGTCTTGTGTGTGTGGCATGTCGGGTGTGTGTGCCGTGTGCCGGGTGGGTGCGTGTCAGCGGCAGCCTCCTGCTCTGCAGGAGACCCGCGTCCAGCAGGTCCAAGCCCCCTGCTAGCATGCCACAGGCCCCCGCGGGCAGTGTTGGGGGTGCGGGGTCTGCACTGGGCCCCGCTGGCCAAGGCTGTCCTGGGCTGGGTGAGCTAGCGCTCCGTGGCCGGCATGCCTCCCGGAGCTGTCAGTGTAGGGTGCGCGCTTGAGGGGCAGCCCTAGCCCTGGGACAGCTCCCAGCCTGCCCGCTGGTGCGTTCTGTCATGGGGCCCCAGGAACACCCCTGAGCGGCCAGGGCCCTCAGTATGCTGCGCTGACCCTGAAAGCTTTGCCACCATAGACAGGCTTTGGACACATCTCTTTAGCACCTGGGAGGACAGGAGTGGACAGGAGTGACCTCCCACCTGCAGCTCCTGCTGGCTGTCCCCTCCCTCCTGGGGTCCTGGCTTCACCTCCTGTGGCCAGGCTGCTCCACACTGGCCCCAGAGGCCCCCCAAGGGCCCCGGTCAGCTCCCGCAGGAAGGCAGCGGCTCCTGGGCCCCCACCTGAGGTGCCCTCACATGCTGGCTCCCAGGCTCCCAGCACAGCGATGTCGGCTGGGAGGAGTGGGGCTCCTGATCCTGCTCAGTGACCAGCCCATTGGTCTGCAGCTGCCCTAGACAGCCAGCTTCGTCTCCACACCAGCTGCAGACCTCTGGGTGTCCGCCCCTGGGACCCTGCCCCAAGCTTGCACACGTGGGCACCGGGGGACACGGCTCCTCGTGTGCCCACGTGTGGGTGTGGGAAGGGCCAGACGCCTGAGCCCAGCAACAGACACTCCCCCTCCTCCCTCCCTCCCTCCTCCCTCTGCTGGCATTAAGCTCTTCAGCTCCTCAGCCAAGGATGAAGCCCTATTGCTAAAAATACACCTAACAAATCCCAAACCTATAATTTCTTTGATTCGTTTTTTAAAACCAGCAGGATTCGCCTTTAAAAAGCTAAATGAAAAAAAAAAAAAAGCTAAATGAGCTTGGCTTGGCTGTGAAAAGCTCTCCTGGACACAAGCACGACGTGGGAGTGCCAGGCCCCACCCTGCCGCCCAGGCCTGGGGCAGCAGACCATGCAACACCGGCGGCCAGGCCCGGCTGCCCAGGCCAGTGGTAGACCCCCAGGAGTGAGGGGGCAGGGACGGGGCCGTGCCAGCCTGGGGAAGAGGGCTCTGGCCAGCTGAGCGCCGGGTGCCGGGGGCTGTCGTGGTGGGTGGCGGAGGGGTGCTGGGGTGTTGTGACACCTGGGGTGCGCTGAGGAGACCAGGTGTATCTGCACTGGGCCCGAGCATCTGGCCCCCTGGGTCTTGACCAGTCTCTGTACCCAGGCAGGGCTGTCCCAGGGCCAAAGGTAGGGTGGTGAATAAAAAAATAGGGAGAAGTGAAAAGGCTTTAGGGGCATAGGAGACACTCCTCTAGTGGTGGAGTGGGGCCTGGTGCTGGCCTGGTGCCTGGGGGCGGGGCTTCGGTGTTGGGGGTTCAGGGGCAGGCTAGGGAGGTGGTCTCAAGGGCCTGCACAGTGCTGGTCTCTGGCAGAGACCAGGAGGCTGGGAGGTGACTTATGTGCTGCTGTTAGAGTAACCCCACCAGCCCAGCGCCTGAGCTCCATGGCCAGAAGTTGTCTCCACGGTCCAAAGAGGCAACCATAGGATGAGGGCGTGGCCCCAGCCGGCCAGTCACCCCAGCACTGGCTGAAATGCAGGTGAGCAGACGAGAGTGTGGGAAGGGCCTGAGATTTAGAGTTCAGGTAAGGGGCTTCCCGAGTGGTGCAAGGGTTAAGTCTCAGCGCTATGAAATTATCACCAGCCTCTGTGGCCCTGAGTTCGATCCCTGGCCAGGGAGCTGATCCACGGGGGGAGCTGACCCACATTGCAGAGCAGAACTCGCCTGTCTCCCTGCTGCTCCTCTCAGTAGATCTGCCTGTTCTGCTCCCCACTTTGTCTCTGGTGAATCCTCCCACCCCTCAGACCTCCGGCCTACACCCCAGCTCTTGTATGCATAAATAAAATATTTTTTTTTAAAAAAGAGTTCAGATGCCCTGGTCTCCCCTGTACCGGGAAGCCAAGTGGCAGGTACTAGAACAAGCCTACATGGGCACTGTCCCTGCCTACCGCACAGGTGTGGCCTGGACACTCCACCAGGATGGCTCCTGGCTCAGGTGCATCTGGCCTCCAAGAGCTCAGCACCTGCGTCACTAATCCAGGGCGCGCCTGCTGCCCGCACGTGTGGGCAGCTGGACAGCCTCGGCAGACCCTCCCTTCACGGGGGCTCACAGGACAAGGTCCAGGCACAGTCTTCCTGGGCAGAGGCGCACGGGCGAAGCCAGCGGGGAGCTGGTGTCACCATTACTGCCGCAGGCAGTGGTAGTGGCCACAGCCTGGGTGCTGTGGCACAGAGGCCGCGAGGCGCTGGCAGAGGGGCAGTGGAGCAGGCAGTGGCCAAGTGTCTGGCGTCAGTAGGTGATGGGGACGGCCACGTGCCCCACGTGCACAGCCGCAGCAGCGGCACGAGCAGCAGCAGCGGGTGGAAAGGCGGAGCGGGCTTGGGGCTTGGCAGGGCCAGCAGCGGCGGCAGCAGCTAGCGCTGGGTGGGGCAGTGCGCTGAGGCCCAGCGATGTGGGCACCAACCTGCCATTACCCTCCTGCCACCCCTGTGACCGTGCTCGCGCAGCTCCTGCCCTGCACACTGGATGCTGGCTTGGCTGTGGGCCCCAGCGGGCACTAGAGGGCAGCTGTGTGCTGCCTGGTACTGGGGACCCAGGCAGGGGCGCAGGAGGCCAGTGGGGCACAGGGGCCAGCACGGTTGAGCTCCTGAGCGGCCCCTGGCAGGTCCCAGCCCCAGGGCCTGGATGCACCTGTCCCTTGGGAAAGCCAGCAGGGGCAGCAACTTCACAGCCTGGCCAGCAGGGGGCAGCCTCTGTGAAGGAACACGCCCACTGGCCCGGCCCCACTGCACTGGCCCCTGTGTGATCAAGCCCCTGGGGTTGGCACCCAACCTGGCACCCTGAGGGGGTTCCGGCTCCAGGCTTGGCAGCAGCAGGGACAACACCAAAGGCATCGCCCATGGGCACGGGGCAGGCCCAGGAGCAGGGGCACCCCTGGCCAGCTTACACGGGAGGGCAGCCACATGTCGGACCCTGGGGACACCCTCGGCCAACGAGGAAAGGCCCGCCTCCCCACCTGGCCTTCACCAGGAGGAACCAAGGTATGGCAGCCCCCCGATCCTCGCCTGCTCCCCTCTGCACCCAGAAGCAACACCGACAGGACAGCAAGGCCAGCAGCTGCGACGCCCGTGCTGGTTCAGCCAGGAAGGGCTGGAACAAGTGGATGGGGTTGGGCCAGCCATCCCTGGCATTCTGACCCCAGGAGGAACACCAACACGTCCAGCAGCCTTCGTGAGCCAGCAGGCGAGACCCCAGCCAGCAAGCTCCATGCCCAGTCCCGCCACGGTCGCCGCCACCGCACCACGGCCCCAGACAGCGTGGCACTGCCCTCGGCAGGCTCTGAGATTCCGCCCTGAGTTCCGAGCGCTGAACTCTGCGCAGGAGCAGCTGGCTGGGGGCTGGCTCCTAACATGGCCTGTGTGGCCATGGGCACATCGACAGCATCCATGGGACTCAGCGCTGGGGCGCGTCGGGGCCCCGGGGCAGATGCGTGTCCCCCAGACCATATGCACAGAGGAGCTCCCGCCCCACCCACCGCTGACCAGACAGCCCGCGGTGGCCACACTCCCCGGGGGCCCAGATCCCACCTGGGCGCAGGCTGTTTGGCTCCGAGGGCGAGACCCTGGTCCACCAGTCCCGAGAGCCCAGGACACACGAGCCAAGCAGAGGGCTTCTCCGCTCACATCTAGATGCCACGCTGGCCGCCCTTCCTGCAGTCCTTGGGTCTCACAGCGCTGTCCCCTGAGGGTCCAGGCACAGGAGCAGAGGCCCCGCCCCACACGGCCTTGACCCCTGGCCTAGGGACGCTGCTAAGCTGCTGCTCTCTCAGTGAAACTGGACCATGTGCCAGGTCTGGCCAGGCCCGTCGGCAGAAGAGCCTTGTGTCCTCTCTGCCCCGGGTGTCCCCTCTGCTCTGGGTGTCCCTTGCATCTGGGTGTCCTGTGCATCTACTCTGGCCTGGTGTCCCCCTGGCCTGGGGATCACCCATGGGCAGGATGACCTCCCTGATAGCAGCATCAGCGCAGGCACGAGTAGCTGCAGACACAGGGCCCGGAGGGGCTATGCCAACGCCCAGACCTGGCTCGAGGAACGAAGCCGCCGTGCCTCTGAGTGTGGGACCCCGTCTCGTCCAGTGGAGCCTCACATGCTCCACTGGAGTGGGGGGGCCCATCACCCATCGGCCTTGCGGCTGTGCAGGCATGTAGGGGCCATGGAAACAATCCCACATTCGTTTCTTTAAGTCAGAATGTAGCACAAGGACGTGTCCCAGGGAGTCCAGCCTGGGTCAGCGCCCTCCTCTTTACACCACACTCGTGCCAAGTGTGACACTCGGTGTTTCCTGTCGGGGCGGGTGCCCACGTAGGCCACGGGGCTCGAGCCCAGGCCGGTGGCTCGGATTCTGCCCTGCTTAGGTGGCCCCCCTCCGCTGGTAAAGCTGCCCATGCCTGGAGGGTGGGGGGCGGCCATCCCACCCAGGGGCCGCTGCCCAAAATGGGCAGCAGAGGCATCTGGGGACGGGGCTGGCTCGGTGACAGCCAGGCCCACAGCGCAGCTGGGATTCGGCCCCTCCTGGCGAGCACGTGGTGGGGTTCAGACCCTCGGCCTCAGAGCGGGTCCCGTGCACCTGCCCCCCGAACGCTCCCCGTCAGCTGCATCAGAACCCCACAGGCTGATGAAAATTGGGTGTCTGGCTCTGGCCGGTTTCCCACTGGCTGCAGAGGAGCCCAGGAATCTGTATTTCTAACACCCCCCTCATCACACCCCCTTCATGATACAGAGGCAGCGGGCTCGGAACCCCATTTTGAGAACCGCTGCAGTGAGAAAAGCCATCTGCTCTACAAATTCGCAATCAGGATTTTAGAAAAGGCGCCAGACCCTATCCAGAGAGACCCAGATCAACAAGGAAGGGAGGGGAAGCCAGCACTGCGCCGTGGGGACGGGCTGCTGCGGGGCAGACAGCCATGCGGGGTGGCGACCAGGTGCCGGGTCCGAATTCTGATGGCCACGCAGCCCTGAGCGTGCCAGGCCCACCCCCACTGCCCGGGGCGCTCAGTGCCGACAACATCCCCCGCCACCCGAATTCAGGGCACTGCAGCCTGGCAGGATGGGCCAAGTCCTGGGCCTGCTCAATGCTGAGGGGGTGGGTGTGTCTGGGGGTCCCCGCCTATGGAGCCTTGGGGCAGTGCCCCCCCACTGCGGGCACCCTGCAGGTGGAACCCCAGGTGCTGGGGGGAGGGGCAATTGAGCAGGCCCAGGCCTGGAGGCTGCCCCAGGACTAGAGACTCATCACACACACGGCACTGCCCAAGTACCTGCATGCTGTCCAGCGTGTTCTGGGGGGAAAGCAAGGCAGCGTCATGGCAGGAGGTGGCCCAGGGAAGCTCCGGCGTCACACCACCACCAAGCACCGCCTCTGTGCCCCAGGCCATGCCTCGGAGCCACAGCACCTACGATGCCACCCATGGGCCATCCAGGGCTGGCTGGGAGGGTGGGACACCCACAGGAGGCAAACCAAGGCCTGTGGGGCTAGGGCTTGGGGGCCACAGGCCAGGCGGCCCAGCAGGGCACCAACCGCCAGGCGCCCAGCCCCCGAGGGCCCTCCCCTCGCCTGGGTTCCCTCCTCTGTCACCCTTGTCCCTCCATCCCGTCCCACCGCTAATGTTGCTTTAGGAAATCAACTTTGAGAGCGTTCCCAGCAGGAGGCAGGTAAGAGGCAGGAACTCTGTTTAAGCCACTCCTTGGGGCAGGGTGAGGGCCCAAGGGGAGCGCCTGTCACTTCTGGGGTGCAGTCATGATGGGGCAGTCAAGGAGGAGGCCCAGGTGAGCCCCCAGGGCAGCACCCACTGCTGTGTCTGGCTAAAGGCTTGTGGGGGCCAGACCAGCCGTGGGCGGGTAGAGGCCTGGCCCGCGGCTGTGCCCTCTGTCACCCATGCAGGTGCAGCCAGCAGAGGCCCTGGCCCTACAGCTCCCTGCAGCCTGCCTGGCCACCAAGGGGACTGGCCCCAGCCTGGAGCCCAGGGCAGAACCCAGGATGGCCACCAGCCACCCTCAGGCTACTCAGCTGCTCGGAATGGAGCTCCCCCCTCCCCGACACCCACCACTGGGCCATGAGAACCCAGGCTGCGGGCACCCTTTGTCCTCTGGCCGGTGTGTGGACAGGGTTTCCCAGGTGGGCCCCGAGCTAACCCTGCACACGGACAGTGTCCTACATGCTCCTGGCTCAGCTATGCCTTTCAGTAGACCCCAGGACCCCTCTGCTGGCCGGACGCCCCCAGGGATGGTCTACCGGCCCCTCCCCCCAGGAGGTTACCCCCCAAAAGCAACCCCCTAGACCACCCAGGAGGCAGCAGGGAGCTGCTGTGTGGCTGAGAGGATGTGCTGGCCTGTCTGTCTTGTCTTCTCCCATGAAACAGGACTAGCGGCTGCCTGTGCCATGGACAGGGGAGCAGGTACCCCAGCGTTAGGGCTTGAGTCCATGCTGGGGTTATCCAGCTAGATGCCCCCCCAAGAGAAGCAGGACAAAGGGAGGGAGAAGGGAAGAGGGGGCGAGGAGGAGTTAGGGGAGAAGAGCGGAGGAGGAGAGGAGTTGGCGGAGAGGGGAGGGAGGGATGAGGAGCCAGCACCAGGACCACCTGCCCGCCCCTGACCACCTGCCCCCCACCCGCAACTCCCACCCCCGAACCAGAAGCCAGGACCACCCACCTCTAGCAACTGCACTGCGCCTTCATGCTCTTTCTTAGCTTCAACCTGAGCCTTTTGGGGAGAAAGATGAGAAAAGAGCAGGTGTTTAAAAGGCGGAAAGAGGGGCGTCAGACGAATGTCTGCACTGTCGGTGGTTGTGTTTTATCCCCCTAGTGAGCCCCAGGCTTCGAGGGTCTAAACCAGCCTGCCCCTTCACCGTGGGGCAGGCTGAGCGGGCTTGGGGGGAGGGGGGCTTTGATGCTGTTTGATGCTGTAGAACCCAGAGGGCCCCAAGGTAGCGGGTGGGGAGCAGACGGACCTGGGTCTGTCCGAACAGGAGGGGCCTGGCTGCTCCCCACAAGGGGTCACCAGACTTGCTACCAGGGCAGTTGCTCTGCGAGCCTCAGGTAACACTGTCACCCCTGTGTCCTCTGCCACCGCTGAAACAAAGCCCAGTCCCGCGCCCCAGAGTAGCTGAAGGTCAGCCGAGGCTCAGCAGCCAGAGGAGGGGCCAGGGGGGGGTCCAGGGCCCTTTGTCCACGCTCAGCGGCTCAGCCTGTCCCAGGGGCACCTTCTTGCAGGTCCTTGAAGCAACACCCCCTGCCCTGAACAGACACCACCCACTTCCCTAAGGCCTTCCCCAGAGCCTGGCCCGATGTCACCGCAAAGCTGCGTCATGGGACCCATCCTCAAAACCCCAGCAACCTGGTGTGGGCGTGACACCTGCTGGCCTGAATCTGCAGGGTGCAGCCCCCCACTGAGTGCAGGAGAGTAGAGTCTAGACCCCCACTCAGAGCAGAGGTGCCCAGGAAACTGGGGGAGGGCCTTGCCGGGCTGACTGGTGGAACCGGAGGAGTGTTGGGGCCACCTGGTCGCATGAGGGACAGGGGCCCACACACGGGACCCGAGCAAAGCCAGCCCAGCGGAGAGCACGAGAGCATACCCCCGGGCCGATGGTGCGGGGAAGGGGGCGTTGGGAGTGCGGGGTGCCGGATCCAGCGCACCTGAGCCCTCCACACGGGCATGACCCGGAGTCCTAGGGGGCAGCATCACCGCTGTTAAAGGAAGTGGCCCTCCCGCAGAAGCTGAGGGCCTGCCGGCCAGCCACCTCGTCCAGGCCACTCCTGGCACCAGCACCCAGGATGCCCATGAGGCTGCCTTGGGGCCTCAAGACATCCTTGTGGCCTCCAGATGCAGCAACACCAAAGCCTGTGGCATTTCTCCTGGCCCAGCGCCTGTCTCTTGCGATAAGCACTAAAGAACCCACGGGAGCCACTGGGACTCGCGCCGGAGGAGCCGCCCTGCGGACCACGGCGACCGCGAGCGCCTCCTGGCAGCCTGCTGGCTCCCCAGCCAGGGAGGGGGCCTCTGCAAGCCGCGCAGGCCAGACAGCAGCGACTGGCATTCACACCCTCACTCCGCAGGCTCCGAGCAGCCGACTCCAAGCGCTTCAGCTCGTCCCTTTCAAAGCAAAAACAGCCAGCGCAACAATTGACGGCGAGGTGGAAATAGACAAGCCCGCAGGGACTCGCGGGACGACATAAATAGCAGCGAGCAGAGCGGCCCACCGAGGCGGCACGGCGGGTGGGGGTGGGCGCTGGGACCGGCCAAGTTGGCAGCGAGGATGCGGCTTCCACGTCAAGTGCAAACCGGGCGTGTTTCCGAGGCTACTTGCAAGCGGGCCATTTGGGCGATGAGAATAGACTGTTAAAATCGGCAGTCAGAACTGGCAGTCCTGAATCCTCCAAAATCTAAGCAGCAGCTTGAGCAGGGCTGGTCGCCGACCGCTGCCAGCTCGCAGGATCTGACCTTTGCAGTGGGCACCCAGAGGACCCATGTCCAGGGCAGCTGTGAGTGGGGCCTGAGGCCTGGAGCTGCTCGGGCCGCCACCCGGGGCCCACCGGGGCCACCTGCCCGCATGACCCCACTCAAGGCCCTGGGTGCCATGCCGAGTCAGGCCTCCTTGCCTAGGAGGCATTCGTGGTTTTGAGCACGAGCTGCATCAAGAGGAGACGCTCAGGAGAGCCTCCGCGGGCGCCCTCTGCCCATGCTGCGGCCCGAGTGCCCTCGTGCCCAGGGCCTGCTTCGAGGCTCTGTCCCGTGTGTGGACACCAGCTAAGAAAGACAGGCAGCAGGAGAGGGCGAGGGCTGCGTATCTGGCGTCGGGAAGCACGTGTGGCCGAGAGCGCACGGCAGAGAGGGCAGTCACGAAGGCCAGGTGGCCAGTAGACACTCAGCCGTCATTACCTGGTGGCCCAGCATGTGGCCGAGACCCCAAGGAAGGTGGGGTGAGGCCAAGGAACAGAGGTGTGCGGGTGAGCAGGAGAGGAGAGTGCAGGATGGTGGGGGGCGGAGAAGGGGGGCCTGGCTGCATCCAGGGACCAGGCCCAGGACGGTCTCCACACGTAACACACCTGGGGTGGCTTCTGCAGCTGCCTTTGCTGGTCACAGCCTGACACACGGCCTGACACGCTGACACATCGCTGCCATGAGGGCCCTAAGAGCTGTGGTGAGAGAGGCTCCTGCTCTCCACAGTGCATGCGCCTCAAGAGAGCACATGCTCACACATACACAGGCTGCACACACTCACACACGGCTGCACACATGCTGGCAATGCTCACACCCACACACACTCACCCATGCTCACACGCACACCCGCCTCACACACGCCAGCTCGTGAGCGCTGGCGGGACAGCGCCATTCCTGCAGGAGCGGCCTAGCCAGTCACGGAGGCTCAGGATTTGGGCTGCTCCCAAGTTCACCCTCCAGGTGGCTGGTCCAGAGGCACAGAGCTGGGCCACCCGCCACTCCAGGTTAGGGCCCGCGGTGTGGCCCTGTCCTCCTCCCCACAGGCCCGCACCCCAGAAGCGCCATCACTTCCTCCAGTGCCACCCCCAACAGCAGCCCCAGCTCCACCCTCAGTCTGCGAGGCGGCACCACAAGGAGCCTGATCAGACCCCTCACCCGGTGGCGTCTGCTGCTGCCCAACCAGGGTGGCCCCACCCTGACCATGTTCCCGCCGTCCAGCTGAGCCCATCTCCTCGCCTGCCTCACACAAGCACACTGGGGCCGCCTGTCACTCCCCCACTCTGCTTCCCAGGAGCCCTGCCCACGCTGGATGAATGACGAGTGAGCACCCAACGCTGTGTCGCCCGGGAGAGGCATGGGCACAGGGCAGGGCAGGAGGGCACCAGAGGGTAGCCAGGAGGCACAGGACTGGCCCGGGTAATGTGCACCATGCCCATCGCCCTGGCGGGGCCCGCAGTGTCTCTGCAGGCACTGCCCACCCCCCTGCTGCTGGGCCCCGGACACGCAGGCCCGCCCGAGAGGGCGCGGCCCCAATGCACTGTCCCAGGGGCCACACCAGCACTGTCGCTGTGACAGTGTCTCGTTCCCGTGGGCCGACCGTAGCTAACAAGCTCTGCCCTGGACGCAGCCTGGGTCCACGTCAGGGGGTCGTCGGCACCTGCCAGGTGCTACTCTGCTGGGGCACACAGGGGCTGGCCGAGGGGGTCGCACGGCCTGCAGAGGGATGTGGGGACACACGGATAGGGGAGGCAGCCAGCCAGCACCCAAGCAGAAGCCCCCTCTCGTGGCCCTCTGTCCCACAGCGAAGGCCCTTGGCAAGAAGGTGGCCCCATGGGAGGATGTACCAGTGGGGTATGGGACCCCACCCTTGGCAAGAAAATGAGAAGAGACCTCTACCCAGGCCACCCAAGGCCTGGGCTCTGAAAGAGGGGTCCTCGTGCCCATCTGAGGAGACAGGAGGACAGGCTGACACGTGAGTACAGGTAGCTGTACTTGGCCCCAGCGCATCTCAGGGACACACGCCCACACTCTGGAGCACCCCGCCCTCCGCACCTCCTCCCTGCCCTCAGGTCCTGCTCCCCGTCCTCCTTTCCTCTGGCTGTGGCCTTGACACAGGGGCGAGCAGGCCGCTCGTTAAAACACCACAGCAACGTCCCCATGCAAAGGAGCCACCACCGGATGAGCAAGGGGGAGGCCAGCTGCCTCCACCACCTGGTGTTTGGCCCAAGCCCCCACTAGGCCCCCCCCAGGGCACCCCAACAGCTCTCCGAACTGGCCCTTGTTTCCTGCAGCACCTGTTCCCGGGCATGTGGCCACAGGGGCAAGTGTGAGTGTCTGTCCCATCTCCATGGACACAGTCCGGAGGCCCCCCAAAGCTAACCTGGTTCAGAACCCTGCCAGTGCTCCACAGAGTGTGTACACCCCACACCTCACTGACAGCAGTGCTAGAACCTTCCACCTACTGTGCAGTCCAGAACACAAACATGGTCGCTTGGGAGTGAAACTTCCCAGCCGAGGAGAGGACAGGCTGGAGCCTGTCAGAAAGGCAGCTGCTACCGCCCCCCCCAGCCTCCCTCACCTAGGTACCCCGGCGCCCATCCACCCCTCCCCTACACTCCAACACCCACGGGCCCACCCACCCTTCCCCCTGCACCCCTACATCCTGGAGCCAACCCTTCCCCCTGCATCCCTACGCCCAGGCCACCTGCCCACCAGCTCACCCTCTGCAGAAGGTCAATCTCCTGCTGCTTGGCATTGAGCACGGCCAGGGCTTGCTCATGCTCCAGTTCCAGCTGCTGCCGCCGCCCCGCGGCCTCTCGCATGTGCTGTGGGGACAGGACAGGTGCTGTGGGGACGGAGCAGGTCAGGCCCCCGCCTCCCGACTCACCCACCCAGTCCTGGGCCTCCCCAGGCACTGCTGGGCATCCAGCGGGCACCCCCACCTGCTCCCAGGACTTCCCTGGGGCAGCAGCAGGAATCTGGGACATCCCGCCAGTAGCTGAGCGGGCTCCTGCTTCCACTTCAGGCTTTAAATGCAGCACGAAGGCCCTCCCTGGTGGCACAGCGGGTTAAAGCTCAGCACTGCAAGCTGAGCACTTCAGTGCGAACTTGATCCCCGCCCTGGAGGTGACCCACATGGTGCGGCAGACCTCTCCTGACCCGCCTGCTGCTCCCTCAGCAGTGCACTTCGTCAGTAGGCCTGTTCTGCTCCCCACTGTCTCTGGTGAAGCCTCTCACCACCCCTGCACCTCTGGCCTGTACCCCAGTTCTGTATGCACAAATAAATAAAATATTTTAAAAATAATAATAAATGCAACACACACATGAGCAAAGGCCAGTGTCTCCTGCAGAGTGGCTCCTCGCTCTCCCACTTAGAAATGATCTCGCTCTCACGTTTCCCAGCTGTGCCAACAGCAGCCCAGGCTGCTCGCCTTCTGCCAGGTGCTGGGCGTGGTCACTGTGGACAGCTACTTAGTCATGGACTCCTTTAGATGACCGTTTGGGCAGGGTGGCAGCACAGGCAGGCAGGGCTTTCCTGGCCGAGACCCACCGGTCAGAGGCCCTCAGGTCACCTGGAGCTTTCCTGATCTCAGCTCTGGAGCTTTCCTGATCTCAGCTCTGGGCCAAGTTGGCCTGTTCGGGGAGCGCGGGTGGACGCCTGCAGCCCAGTAGACTTTCCTGCGCTGGGCCCCGAACCCAGCAGCAGGTCCACCTTCTGTTCCCACTCACTGTTCTCATGCCCCAGGCAGGGGAGGGGCAGGTGCGAATTCTGTTCTGTCACTGTCTCTCCTACGCACCCCCTGCCTCAGAGCCCTCTCCTGGGAAGCCACCCTAGCCCGGGGTCACCAGGTGTGTGGCGCTCACACTGCAAGGCCGTTCCCGGCTCTCACAGAGCAGCTCGAGCCAAGGCCCAGTGCTGCCCCTCAGCGGCAGGGACAATTACCCTACGGACAGCGGTGGTGTCCCTGTGGTGTGGAGGACCCCCAGGACAGAATCCCTCAGAGCCCAGAGCGGCGCCCACCAGCCCCATCACCCCGTCTCACTGCCACGGGCTGTGGGGTGGTGGAGGGTACAGGCAGCCGGCCAGGACCCTGTCTCCACAGTTGCCGTCAGCCCCCGCCCCTCCGCAACCAGCTCAGCCCTGCCCCAAAGCTGCCCGCAGAGACGCCCCTCCGACTCCAGCGATTTCTGGTGACCACCCCACGGATCCTGAGATCTTACGAGCCCGTGGCTCAGTCACAGGAAAGTCCCAGCCCTGGATGCATGACGTCGCCAAGCAGGGACCCTGGGCGCTGGGACTCTTCCCCAGCTCTGCTTACAGCTTTTCAGCAGAACTGGGGTTCTCCTAGAGGGAGCCCACATTAGCTGCACCCCAACATCCTGCTCGTGCTGCGGCTGCAGGAAGGGGGACGAGGCAGGCGCCCGCTCTCCTCTCCAGCGCTCTCTGCGGTCCCTTGCCACAGGCCCTCCTGCGCTGGCAGGCTGCAGACTCCGAGCGAGCGGAGAACGAGCAGACTGAGAACGAGCACCAGTCAGCAGGAAGATGCGCGCGGGACAACCAAGTAGAAAGGTGCCCGCCCCCTCGGGGGTGGCCATGAAGATGGCGCCACAATCCAGCTCACGAGCATGGTCACGGCCCCAGGCTGGGGCCAGGGCACCCATCCAGGTACCCTCCAACCTGCTCCAAGGTTGTAGGGCAAGCGAATCTTCCCCCTCCTCTCAAGGGGTAGCAAGCTTCCAGAGCACACCTGTCGATATCCTCGGGACCCTCATTGGCCAGGCCTGGCCACACAGCTCCACAGGGATCTGTGCACACACGGAGATCACTCCCACCCTGCCCTCACCGAGGGTGAGCGCTCTGTCCCCGCAGACAGGATTTCTCACGCCTTCTGGGTCCAAGCACAGGCTCAGAGCAACTGAGCGGCCGCTCAGAGCCACACAGCACGAGGCCACGGAGCTCAGGGCCTCTCCAAGTGTCTGGCAGTTAGGGACATCTAACTGCTCACTGCTCTTGGCATGAAGCGTGTCAACAGCCACTGTCCCCAGAGAGGCTCCAGGCAGCCAGCCTGGGGTGCACAGACAATTATGCAGCTGCTTAATTGCACTATTGTTCCAGCTAATTTTTGTGCTTCTGTTTATTCTGGAAGTAGAGCTGCCCGGTGTGGCCTATGCAATCTTTATTTAGCTTTGGGAGGAAGTTGCTGGGGAGGGGAGAAAACCAGCCCCCTTGAGGAACTCATTAGGAACATTAACCGGGGAGGGCGAGGCAAAGGGAAGTGTCATACGCTCAGCATGAGGAGGCAAGGAGGGCCGGGGCCTGTGGAATAGATGGACATAGATAGAGGAAGGAGGGGCTGTAGCCTCAGGTGTCTCAGCCTAAGGAGCCCTATGCCTGTGACAGGTTGTCAGATAGGCACCAACTGTAGGGTGAGCTGCCGCAAGGAACCTTCCTTGGGTTAATTATGGTGGGTGTCACTGGGAGGACAGGTCTGCAGGAACTTTCCCAGCTTCCAGGTCCTTCTCACTCCCTCCCTCCGGCTTGGCCCCTGCAGGCCTCCTTCCTGGAAGGGGTCGCTGAAGCCAGGGTAAATGGCTCCGTTGTTTGCAGACCTGAGAGCTCAGCAGTCCTCTCCGCAGGCATCATCGTCAGATGACCCAGCCTGGGGCACAGCCACTCCCTGGACTGGCCCAGCCGCTGCAGCCCAGAGGCTGCAAACACAGAAGAGTGGGCGCTGACGGCGGGGCCACCCCCGGAGACCCCTAGCCCCAATGCCAACCACAGAGGCGCTCGCCTGTCCACCCTGAGGAGCCCTGGGGTGTGCAATGATCTTCAGCCAAACCCATCTGTCTTGGTCCCTGATCTGTTCTTCAGCCAATGAGAGTTCACTCCTTCGTTCTCAGACCTGGTCCCCAGAACCCTGTAGCCTCATCCTCTTTCTAACCGGAGAACGACCTGCATTTGCTCCCTGTGTCCTGGCCAGCTGGTCCGCAGCCAGGCGTCCCCCTTCTCAAGCCCTCACCACGGTACTGGCTTCCCTGCACTGGCACAGGGCCCAAGGCAGGGAGACACACACACCCTCACCTTCCACACGCTCCTCTAGCAGTTCAGGCTGACCCCCTCCTACAGCTCGGCTGAAAACACCTGCTAGATGACTATGGGGCTCCCTGCTGTCCAGGCCTGTGACCACTCTCGAGCCAGACCCGACCCCTGTTGGCCCCCAGCAGGAGTGCCTCCCTCCTGGCACGCCCACCTGGCCACTGGACAGGGAGTGACCAGTGCTGCAGCCACAGCCTCCCCTGCTAATCCTCACAGGCTTAACTGCCACTTACAGGCCCGAGCTCCAAGGGGGTTTCTCCCTGCACCCCTCTCCATGTGCCTGCCTGCCACCCCCAAGGCCGTGCGGGAGTAGCCATGTCAGCCTGTCCAGTGAGAACTCTGGGCTGTGTTTCTCAGCCCACTTCCTCCCCTCCGGTAACGACACCACTGTCCACTCCACTCCTCCAGCCACACACTGTCGTTATTGATTCCCATCCCTGCCTCAGTGTCCACATCTTTAGAAATCATTCCATCTGCACCAAAACCTTCTCAGAGCTACCCCCAGCAAGCCCCAAGGCCTCCCCCCAGACAGCAGCCAGACCTGGGGGTGCCTTCCTGCGTGTGACCTCCCTGTGCTCTCTCCAAAGCAGAACCCCATGGCCACTTGTGAGGTGACTGGTGAGGGGGACACCCCCAATGTGGGGAGGTTGTTATTTCTGGGTGTTTCTGGGAGAACCTAGCAATGGATCGTGAACTGAGTAAGTCAGACGCCCTCCCAGCGAGGTGGCACCCCCAATCCACAGACGGGAAAGTGGAACAGATAAAAATAGGACCAAAGGTGGGGGAGGAGGAGCAGAGACATTCATCTTCTGGCCTAGGACGTGAGCTCCTGGCCCCAGGACTTTCTGACTGGGGTCCATCAGCCTCTGAATTCTCAGGCCTTCAGTCTGGTGCGGGGGCTCTCTGGCTTCCATAATCTCATAGGTCAATTCCTGTAATAAATGAAGAAGGCTCCTCTCACCGTCTCCACTCTCCCTCTCTCTCCAGTTGGTTCTGTTTCTTTGGAAACCCTGGTTATTCCACTCTGCTTATAGCACTCAAATGCTACCAATTAATTACCCTCAGAACAAGGACCAGACACTGCCAGAGCTGTCGGCTTCTCTGCTGGGCCCCAGTTCTCCTGCCACCCTGGCCTCTGCCCAGCCTCTCAATGGCACCGAGGTTATCCACCGCCCACCCCGCCAGTCCTCACTGTGAGGCTGCCGCAGCAAGCACGAGGCAGGTGGCTGGCCCCCACGGCTTTGAAGCCGGGGTATGAGCAACAAGGAGGGCCAGGTGGTGGCATCTGGTGGCCAGTCCACCTCCCTGGGCTGCGGCCCAGACACCCCGGTGGGGCGGGAGAGAGGTAGGCGCCCCTTGCTCTGCCCAAGCCCGCTCAGGGGCTCACACTGGGCAGCCCAGGTTAGCTGGTCTGTTTCAACGTCCCTTAACTAGTTTGTTTGACATTATATGTACATACATTTTAATGATCTGATGCAGCTTTCAACCAGAAAGGCAGTTCCTTCTTCTCAGCCAGGTGTCCTGGACCCAGAGTAACTCCATGGCGTCTCCTCACCCTGATGGGTCATCTCGGACACCCCAAAGCCTGCAGCCATGCAGGGCAGCAGCAGCGGCCCAAGGACAGTCCCTCTGGCCTGGACCCAGCCTTCTGTGAGGGGTCTTCTTGCCTAAGACCCCAAGGCTGAGCTTGGTGGCAGGAGGACGATAGAAGCGGACCAAGGCATGGGCAGTGTGTTTTGTTTCTGACACATGTTCATCAGCTGCGTGCTGGGAACCTCGGGAATGGGGCAGGAGGGGAGCAGGCACGCGCCCCACCCCCACCCCCAGTACGGAGACACCAGCAAAGTTAAGACACATGCCCAAGGTTGCCCAGTCACTAAATGACAAGCCCACCGGTGAGTGCAGGGCCTGCCCCTGGCCTGTCCCCCCACTGCCTCCACCCCCGACTCCTAGGACTCCTGGGGCCTCCCAAGGTCTCCCCTCATGGGATGCAACAAGAGCTAGTGGAACATTTTGCAAGACAGCCTATCCCATGGGGCCTTCTGGCCTCCCCGGGCTCTGGCACTCTCCCTGGCTGCAGACGAGGCCAGCTTGCCTCTCTCCCAGCAGCCCCACAGTCTCCGGCACCTCTTGCCCACACCCTGTGCCCATGGGCCTGCAGACACAGTCTGGCTCACAGCCCAAGATCAGGCCCTCGAGTTCCTAACACTGGGCTTCCTTTACAGGCATCTTCTCAGGCCCAGGACACCAGCCCCCCATGGGGACTCCACGTCTGGAAATGCGGCAGGTTGTGTGGCAGCTCTGGGTGAAGCGCTCCTGCCACGGGGTTTATTTTTAAGGTGGTGATTTTTATAGCCGGACGCGGCTGAGCCAGTGTGTCAGCACCTGCTCCGGGGAGCGGCCACATGCCAGGGAACAGCCACGGCGTGGGGTGAGCGTGGGCGACTGGCGGCCCCCTCAGACCCAGGGACTTGTTTTCTCTTGGGTCCTGACCTCCCTGGCAAAGGAGCGCAGAGGACACGGCCGCAACGCTGCCTCAGCGCGTGTCAGGTCGGGCACAGCACACAGCCCCACACTCCTGGTGCAGAGCAATGCGGCCCCCACTGAGAGTCCCGAAGGGACTGACCGGTGCTGGCCAGGGGCTGCCGTCCTCCCAGCAAGACAGGCTCACTCTCGAACGGCTGAGAGAGGACCACAAACGCAGGAAGCCAGGCTACATCTGAACCGGAGGATCCTGGTTCCGGCCTGGACTCACCAGGCTGAGCCCCTTTGGAAGGGCCCAGGCACTCCCCGGCCCTGACTCACCTTCAGCCCCGGGACTGGCTCCCTCCTGTGTCTCTGCCCTCATGGATCCTCAAAACCAGGCACGTGGCGCTCACCCTAAATCGTCCTTGGGAGCTTTCCTAGAAGCATCAGTTTTCTCAGGCCCTGAGGTTCCTGGCTATGCCAGGACGCAGGGCCCAGGAGGGGCGGCCTGCAGCCCGGCTCTCTTCACCTCTGGGCAGCTTTGTGCTGGGTGGGGCCCAGCCACCACCTCCTTGTTCATCAAGTATCAGCTTGACTCGGGAGACCAAGTCAGGTGGCCCGTGGGGGTGAGTCCTGTGTCCCACAGGACCTGAAGGTCTGGGCGACTGGCCCATCAGAACCTGGCTGGGATCGGGCCAGGCACAACGCCCATGTCCAGAGACCCGGGAGGGTCGGACAGAGAAGACGCAACAGGGCCGGGGCCTGGAAGGGCACAGGCGTCCTGGGAAGAACAGTGGCCCTGGGGTGGGGCACTAAGGGAGTGAGGGGTCTCAGCAGTCACCGCTGACCACAGAGCTGTCAGCTGGCCCAGATGCGCCGGCCAGCACCTCACGGTAAAGAGACCCGTCTGGGGGTTATGGGCACAAAAGCCCATCCAGTTCCATCACCTTTTTCTCAGAACCATAGAGTGTGTGTGGAGTGTGATGAGAGGAAGGCAGTTTGTAGAGCTGGGTCCAGGCCTCAGATGCCCGGGCCCGAAAACTGCCACCAGCACTGCAAGAGGCGGGGCGCCCGAAGACCTGGAAGCCAAGTCCGAGGACCCCCTGACCTCGCTTCCTGGCCACGTTCAGGTGCGCCCACGCCCTGGGCATCTCGGGGCAGCAGGGTGACTGGTCTTCCCAGGAACCGGTGATGCGGTAGAGGCAGGAGGCTGCCGGAGCCCGTGCTCCGCACCGTGAGTCAGCCTGCAGCCCGCGACACCCACACAGCAGCGGCTCTCACGCCCAGGACCGGGGAAGGCAAGCAGCGAGTGAGCGCCCCAAATGCCCCTCACCCGAGAGGCCTCATGCCCAGGAAAAGCCACGCCCGGGAGGGCTGGAGCAGCCAGAAGCTGAGACACGGGGAAGCCATTTCCTCTTAAAATTGGCAACTACGGCCCCACTTTTTCGTTGTGCAAGTGAAGATGACTCAGGGCCTCTGGAGGAGGCCACACTGCATGACCACAGCTGCGGCCCCACAAGGGACTGAGCAGGGCCCGCCCTGCGCTCCATGCCACGGCACCACAGCCCCAACTCCTCATGGCGGTGCTGGGCCCTCCCCTCAGCCGCACCCCATGTCCCATCCACCTGGGGACATCCTCTCCCCGTCCCCGGGCCCAGGCCAGCAGAGTGAGAATGTGGGTGACTCAGCTCAGCCCAGACCACTGCCCGCCCTCCCAACATGCACAGGCCGCCTCAGGGTACAGACGGCGCCTGAGAGCTTGAGGACGGGGCTCCCGGGCCCCAGGAAGCCATCTTTGCAGACAACGAAACCCAAAGCCCAGACCAGTCATGGCTCCCAATAGAGTCTGCAACCACACCATAAACACTGGGTCTCAAGCATAGTCCCCAAGCTGGCACAGACCGAGCCACCCCCCATGCCAGACGCGTGGTCCCCAAACCAGCGCAGACCCTCCACAACTCCCATAGCTGCTTTGTTCATGTAACCGCCCTAAAAAACTCCCGCACCCTCGATCGGGTGGTGCTGTGAGCATGGCCCCCACCTCCCCGACGACCTGGGTGTCGGGTGCTAGTTTTCTCTGACACCAAGCATATGAACCCACTGCCGTTACCCGCCAGGTTCCCTTCTGGTCTTGGGTCCAGACCACACCCACACCCACTCCTCCCCATGTCCTGGGGACTGGGCCGCCCCCATAGACTCTCCCCACACAACATCACGCCTCTTGGCTCTGGTCCCGCAGCCCCAACTTGCGGCCTCAGAAAGCAGAGGGCCGCCCTACCTGCAGGACCTGCTCTAGGTTCTCCAGTTTGCCCAGGAGCTGGTCTTTCTCCTTCACGGCCAAGTCACGTTCTCAGGTCACTAGGGCAAGCATGCGGCTAAGCCAGGCATCCACCTTCACCTACAAGTCAAGGACCGAGAAGGTGGCTGTTGACCACGTGGTGAAGTCTGTATGGCACGGGCCTTCTTCAGCCCCTCCCTGGGGAGAAGCACCCTCCCACATTGCTGACCGTGGATTTCCTGCAGGGTCCATTCCACTGGGGTGAACAGTGGCCACCAAAGGCTGACCCTCCACCCCCCCACCCATCAGGCCCACTGCAGCTGCAGGGACCGACTCAGGACTGGAGATGGGACCCCCCCACCCAGGGAACAATGATGTTGGGGAGGAGTGCATGACCCAATCCCATCTGTAGGAGAAGGAGATTGTGGGCTTGTGTAGGAGGCTGGGACGAACCCACTAGACTTGGAAAGTTGAAGACAAAAGACTGGAGGTTGGCAGCATTTGCTGTTAGGGGAGAAGAAGCCATATGCACCCAGGGAAGGTGAAACAGACGTAGAGACAAGTTACACAGAAGGACAATAGGAACCCAGTAACAACACCTGAGCACCTAGATCAAGCTGCGCCTGAAGCTTACACCTTTCCAGTTGTTTAACCAGTAGATTCCCTTTGTCTGTGCCCCAATTTGAATTGTTTCTGTTTTTCTGAACTGAAAGTCCTAACAGACATAAATGTGTCACCAAAATTGTCTAACTGTACTCATTCTTTTGTTCAAAATTCTCATCATGACTTAAAAGTGGGTAAAGGGCCCTCCCTAGTAGCGCAATGGGTTAGGATGCAGCACTGTAAGCTAGCCACAGCCGCTTCAGTGCGGGTTCAATCCCAACCCCGGAGGTGACCCCCATGGCACAGCTGACCTCTCCTGACCCGCCCGCTGCTCCCCTCAGCAGTGTACTTCGTCAGTCGGACTGTTCTGCTCCCCACTCTGTCTCTGGTGAACCCTCTCACTGTCCTTGCACCTCTGACCTGTACCCCAGCTCTGTAAATAAATAAATAAATAAATTTGTTCTATAAATAAATAAATCTTAAAAAAAAAAAGTGGGCAAAAATGGCAACAGGCCCCAGGCTTGGGGGCATTTAGGTGCCCCCAAACCTCAGAATCCACATGCGTTTCAGATCACAGCCCCCAGGGTCTCACTGTGAGCTTATTCTGGGGTCACCACTTATACTCTGCGTCTTCTGCAGCTTCCTGAAAACAAGAAGCCCTCGATGAGCCAGTGACCTGGCTTTTTCCCATGAATTGTCTCGGAGTGACACATTTTAACCCAACCACAGACTTTTCGTTTCTTTCTGCCTCCCACCTGTGACAACATGAAAACGGCTTTAATAACAGACTGTCACGAACAAGGCTGTGCAGCCATAGAAGTCCTTTCTGCTCCAGACACCCCACGTACAGAGTGTGAGTTTAACGTGACGTTTCCATGGCACCAAAAGAAGGGCAGGCATCCCCCATGTTCCTACCCGAAGGGTGCAGGAGGCTGTCCCCGGGCCTGGCTCACAGGCACCAGCATGCTCCACTGCACAAACACCAAGGCCCCGCGTGCCGGCATCCTGACACCAGGACCCACGTCTGCGCCTCAGCAATGGGGTGCGGGCCACCCACGGCCCAGGGAGTCAGCTCCAGAGCTATGCACGTGGGCATGAGTTCAGGAGAGAGCCAGACCCTGCCTCTCTCTGGCGGAAACGCCTGTGACTTGCACAGCAATGAGAAGCCCAGCCCGCTAGGCCTGGCCCACCCCACCCCCCACCCCGGGGCCAGACTCAGGTCGCTCTGGCCTTCTCCTGGCCCCCAGAGCAGTCACACTCACCTCCAACCAGGATCTGTGCATGTGCAGTTACCCCTGCTGGTGCACCTCCAGGCCCCTCCCACGGGGCACATAGGGCCCCCGTCCCCCTCCACAGCGCTTTGCCAGCCCCCAGACACAAGCCGCTGCACTCTCCCTTTTGGTTCCCCTGGAAGGAATTACGTTCTCCTGGATCGTAGTCTCCTGGATCCAGGTCATGTCCCCCCAATCCCCGTCAGAGCCCAGAGGAGCACCTAGAACCAGGCTGGGAAACCCAGCCTGGGGGTTAGTTCTGTGGGACCCACCAGCCACGTGACCTCCAGAGCCCAGCTCCGGACATGGGCAGGAAACAGGTGTAGGGCCTCACTGAACCAAAAGTCGAAAACCAAGAGTCTGACCCGAACTTTGCTTTTTCAATCAGGCCGCAGCAAAGCCTTGCGAGTGGGCAGTCAGCAGGGTGGGCCCAGGGCACAGGGACAGTGCCAAGGACTGGCAGCGGCCCAGCCCCGCTCCACCCCCCACCCCGTCAGGTGACCTCTGAGTCCTTGGGGAGCCCACCAGCAGCCCTCCCCCGGAGCAGCGTGGGGGCTAGGGCGGACTGGGGCTGCTGCCCGCTACTATTGAGGCTGAGGCTGAGTCATGGCCCAACCCCTGCCAGGCAAGGGAAGGCACCTCTGACTGCCCGCATCACACCAAAAGGCCAAATGAGGAGGTGGCAGGGAGAGTCAGGCTTGAGTGAAAAAGTAGTGTAGGGTTTGGTGAGCCCTGTGAGAAGGGGCGCCTGTCAGAACAGGCCCAAATCGGGGGGCCAACCTTGGCCCTGTGGCTGCCTGGTTCCTCAGAAGCTGGTGCCACTGTCCAGGTGTGGGCACAGCTGAGCCTGTGGCTGGCTGGGTAGGAGGCAGAAGTCCCTCAGGGTCAGCCCAGCCCACCTCCTGCCTCCAGCCCGTGCCTGCCCCCAATCCACCTCTGACACCTCATCACCAGCATCTCATTGTTATTACGGTTTAGATAAAAGACTCCAGAGCTGAGGCCACTAACCCCCCTCGCTACAAGGGTCCATCAGGCAAGCTTGGAGAAGCAGAGTCACCCAGGGAGACTCCAGGCCTCACAGGAGTGAGCCCATCCTACTACCTGGCCAAGTCCACCAGAAGTGCCCTCTGGCCCAGCTGCCTGCAGCCTGCCCATGCCCTCCCTTTGCCAATGGGTAACAGTCATGCGAGTGGACAGACCCTGTCCCATGTACCCCTGTCCAATGGCCACCAGGCTGCTGTGACAGCAGCCATCTGAGCTCCGTCCCATCCCCCAGGCGGTGGGGGCTCTGTGCCAGGACAGTGAGGCCCCAGGGCCATTAATTCAGTCTCTCAGGGCCCCACAGCCCCCCAAGCAGCGTCCCCACCCACCGCACCGGGGTCCCGCTCCCCTGGGCCCTTGCCTATGCTGGCTAGTTCTGAAAACACATTTCTAAAAATTGAAAAGCAAGAAGACAAGAAAACTAATATCAAATCAAGGAAGCCCTCAGTTTATAGTAAACTGTCAGGATTCAGCCTCTGAAGCTGGCTGGCCTGTGGCACAGCAGAGGCTGGGAGCTGGGGGCTACGGGCCTGCCTGGCGGCCTGGGGGCAGTCTGGCTGGATGGACCGACAGACTAGTGAAGAGAAGAGCCTGAGCAGCAGGAGACAAGTTAAAAGCCTGTGGGGTGGGCTCACGCAGAGCCAGGGAAAGGGCTCCCAAGATCTGGCTGAGGCCAGCAGAGGGACACTGCATCCCTGAGGAAGAGACCAGCTTGGTGGCTGGGGGTAGGGGAGGCTGGTGGTGCAGGCGTCAGGACAGGCTAAAGCAGAAGGCACTGGAGGCCTTTACCCTCTGCTGGAGCTTGCTTGGAGCAAGTGGGGCTTGGGGCAGGAGCTGTTTTGGACGGAGGAGGAAGTCAGGGCCACTAAGCTAGGCAGCCAGGGCTGGAGCGGCCTGGGGCAGGTGCTGGGGAAAGCAGGGTCTCTGCAGGTGGGTTCCTGGGCTTGGGTCGCCAGAGGAAGCAGCACCCCTGACTGGGTGAGCACAAGGTCTCCGAGTGGACGTCCAGTCATCCTCCAGGGCCATGAGGAGGCAGTGCTGAGCACCAGTGCAGGGCCTCCCCAGAGAGACCATGCGCCACAGGAGGCCAGTCCCCAGGGGTGGCAGGTAGTTACCTGGTGGTGCTCCTGGGGCCAGGAAGGCCTGCATGCTGGGCCTCAGGGGTGCTCCCGGCACGTCCCGCACGCCGCACCCTAGGACAGGAGGAAAGGGCGGTGAGCGTCCAGCCTTGGGCGGGAGCCTGAGCATTGCCAGCCACAGTCAGCCTGTTCCCACTGAGGGGCCAGCAGCTGCTGTGCAAGGTGGCGAAAGAGTGAGCCGTGCACTCGAGGAGGCCGCAAACTGATTACAATGGAGGGCCAATCAGTGGGGCCTGGTGTGTTGAGTACAGCTCCCAGAGGGCCAGGAGTGGGCAGAGTCCAGGGCCCACAGAACCTCACTCCAGGCTGAGCACTCAGGTGGGCTAAGGATGCCCAAATCAGCCAGACAGGGTGGGAAGCGGGGAGAGAGAAAAGCTGGAGTAAAAGACCCCACTAGAGATGATGTGAAGCTATTCACAAGTCTGCAGGCTCTGGGGCCTGACACTCTGGGAAGAGTGGGTGGCCCAGAACTCCCAGCCCCGGGGCAGAGGGTGACGCTGCTCCCCACACCCGACTCAGAAGAGGCAGCCGCGGTACCGCATGAGTGCTGAGCACTGTGCAGACAAGCTCAGGGTCACGGGGAAAAGTGACGGGGTCCTGTGGCCTGTGGGTGGGCCCAGCCTCAGGGAGCACAAGGGGGCATCAGAGAAAATGTGGACTCGAGCAGTGAAGATCAGGGCAGAGCAGCTCCAGGGCCCATGCAGTCTGCTGGGGCCTGGAGTCCTGGCTGGAGACAGGGGTGAGGGGCCCCAGGGAGCGGCACTGAGCGTGTCCTCCTGGGCAGCAAGGACTTGGGCCAAGAAACACCCCCTCCCAACCCCCTTTGATTCTCTCTCTCTCTCTGAAGAGTAAGATCCAGCAGCTTTCCTGGTCCTGGTACTGCTGCTATTTCAGAGGGACCCCCATGAGGAGGGGGGTTTTGGAAGGCGGGACGGCAGGCAGTCTTAAGGGCCTGTGAGATATTTGTCATTTTTTTCATGAAATCTGAAAAGAAAAGTATCGGCATATTCTGGAGCACCGTGTCACTCCGCATTGCATGCCTGTATGTGTGCCTGATGTGTGTGCTCCCACCATGTGGGTGTGAATGCAGGTGTGTGCATGTCTGTCTGCACATGTGTGTGTCCACTCGTGTGTGTGAGCGTGTGTGCATGTGCACAGGAGTTGTTCACGTGCACTAAAGAAGCATCTGGAATGGGGTGTAACACAGACTCACTGATGGTCCTTTCACATAGACAGAAGCCCCAGGGCCTCCTGTGGGCTTGAGAGCCAAAGCTCGAGCAGGCTTTTGAGAGGCCAGGTCGGAGCAGCCCCCTGCAGCAAGTGTGAGCTGGCACTATCTTTCCTCCTGAGGAAAATGTAAATTAGGTAACATCACAACATCTAATGCATGAGATGAAGCAAGGTTGGATTCTGAGCATTACTGGCCTCCTGCATTTGTTTCTCTCCATTCATTTTGGCTTAATGGCTTAGAGAAGCTGTAAAAAATTTATAAGCCAGTCTTATCACTGGACACGTGCAGTTAACATGAATTATAAATATATAATCACATTATGCCCAAGGCTAATACAGACTTTAGTTATAGTGTGTGAGTCTAATATAATCATATAACGATGATGTACTTGTCAATTATAATAACAAATAATAAAAATAATTTAAGTCCACACTGGGATAGTGTTGGGCTCAATAGTAATTGCCCTACAAAAGCTTCCTAACTGGCTTAACCTAAAGGTTTGGGGAGGGGGGAAGTGGAGGAGGGACAGAGAAGGAGGGAGCTGGGCCTGGGCAGGGCAGGCAGGGAGGAGAGTGCTGAGCGTGCTCGCCACTGTCCAAGGTGCTGACGGCTCCATCGGTCTCTAGGGCCCTGGGTCAAAGTCTAGGACTGCAGGTTTGTGCTCACATAACTGGGAGAAATCACTGGGTCTCAGAGCACCCACATCTAGGGCTTACTCCCAGTGCCAGCTGGTGTGGTTTTGCAACTTACTTAACTCAGTATAAATGAGATGATGCAAACAAATGCCCATTACAGACATAAAGGTCACAGTGAAATAAAGGCACTTCAACCGACTCAACCACTTCTGTGTCCTGTGATGCTCTGGGGCTAGCGCTGAGGCAGACAGACCCACATCTAGTCAGAACAACGTGAAAACCTGTCCTGACTTTCTGTGTCCACACGACTAATTTGTGTCCCATTCTCACTGGTCACTGGAACCAACTGCCCAAAACAGCTCCTGGGAGTGGCCCATGAAGGACAGGATTGCCAGGACCAGGGTTATGGAGGAGAGGCTGGTTAAGAAATTCCTGGCCACAGATGCAGAGAAGCCGGAGCCCCATCCATGGCTGGTGGGGACATGAGCAGGACCAGGCACTGGGAATACTCCAGGACTAGATGGCAGTTGGAGAGTTCCTGGCTTCACTGCCAATGAGGACATACAACAATGGGCCAGAGGGATACTGTACTGAGAGTCACCTTGCTTCTCAGAAACTAGCCTGATGGTTCCTCAAAAAGCCAAATAGGATAGCCACATGGCACAGTAATTCTACTCCTAGACACATACCCCAAAGAACTGGTGTTAGGTGGGCAAACAAATGCTGGAACATAAATTTCACAATGTCCAAAAGGCAAGAAAATCCAGCTTCCATCAGCTTATGGATAAATAAACAAAGCATGGGCTAGCTGATAGTGGAATAGTATTCAGCCTGAACAGTGAAGCACTGAGTCACACTACAACATGGATGACCCACGTGCTGAGTGAAAGAAGCCAATCACCTGTTCAATTCTGAAACATCCAAATAGATAAGCCATAGGGACAGAGGCAGCTTAGTGACAATGGTCTGGGCTGGGAGGCATCGTGCTCATGGGAACAAAGTCCCCTTTGGAACTGTGTGGCAGTAGTGGCTATACAGACTGTGCCAGATGCCCTCAACCTGGCCTCTAGTAACTCCAGCTCAGCCCTAAGTTGCCATGAAGGGGTGCAGAGACCAGCATGTCTCACTTTGGCCCCTTCCCAAGTGCCACTTTGGACACTGGACCCTAGATGCCAATGTCCAGAGCATGTGGTCTCCTATGACACGCACAGCCTTCTCTGTGACTAGGGACAAGTGGGACAAGGATCTCAAGGGTCATTTTTCTCTGTGATCTTGGTCGAGTTGAGAGCTCGGTGTTGAGCCTGTATGCACAGCCCTACCGTACTTGCTCAGCACCTGGAACACCTAATAATGTATAAACGACATATGCTTACTCCCCCCAATGACCCAAGGATGCCTGTCATAAAAATAATCATGTGGGGGCCCTCCCTGGTGGCACAGTGGTTTAAAGCACTGCACTAAGAAGCTGAAACCACTTCCACATGAGTTCGATTCCCATCTGCCCCGGAGGTGACCACATGGCGCAGCAGACCTCTCCTGACCCGCCTGCTGCTCCCCTCAACAGTGTACTTCGTTGATCTGCCTGTTCTGCTCCCTACTCTGTCTCTGGTGAAGTCTTTCGCCACCCCGAGTCTCTGGCCTGTACTCCAGTTCTGTATGCACAAATAAATAAATCTTTAAAAAAATAAAATAAAATAATCATGTGGGGAGCTCCCCTACGACCGGAATCCCGCTCCTAGGCATCTACCCAAAAGACACAAAAAAAGCTGATTCAAAAAGATACCTGCATCCCCATGTTTATTGCTGCTTTATTCACAATGGGAAAGACATGGAAGCAGCCCAAATGCCCAAAAGTAGATGACTGGATTAAAAAGATGTGGTGCATATACACAATGGAATATTACTCAGCAACAGCAACCAAAAAAAAGAAACACATGCCTTTTGCAGCAACTTGGATGGAGCTGGAAAAGATTATGCTTAGTGAGATAAGTCAGAAAGAGAAAGAAAAATACCGGATGGTTTCGCTCATAGCAGGAGTATAATGGACCAGGCGAGAAAATAATAAGAATAATGAACAGCCATATGCCAGTGACATTTTGTGGGGGTGGAGTGGGGAATGGGATCAAAAACAGTGGGGGGGTGGGGAGGGAAGTCCACGGGACTATGGTGATGGTACACAGGTGACTTGGTGATGGGAAACCTGCGGGGATTTAAAAAAATAATAATAATTATGTGGTAAGGCCCTCCCTGGTGGCACAGCGGGTTAAAGCACAGCACTAAGAAGCTAAAGTCACTTCAGCATGAGTTCGAACCCCGCCCTGAGGTGACCCACATGGCTCAGCAGACCTCTCCTGACCCGCCCGCTGCTCCCCTCAACAGTGCACTTCATCAGTCAGCCTGTTCTGCTCCCTACTCTGTCTCTGGTGAATCCTCTCAACTGCCCCTGCACCTCTGGCTTGGATACCAGCTCTGTATGCATAAATAAATAAATCTTTAAAAAAAAAATCATGCAATAAGGCAGCTAATAGTGCAGCGGCAGAGAAATTCACATCAAAACCACGCAGGAAGGACTTCACTCACAGCCAAGGGCCGTGCCTGGTGCCAAGCGTGCTGGCTGTAGAGTCGGACGCATCAGTCATCGCTTTGTCAGTCAGAGGACAGGCCTCCAGCCCTTTCCCAGACCACACAGCGGAGAGGGCCAGCCCTTCTCACTGCATCACTTCTGCCAGGGTGGGCTGTTTGTGGTGTTGCAAAGTGGCATTGCCCCTGATTCCAGAGAGGGCAAAGGCTGCTCTGGCCTCGGCCCAGCAAGGAGGCCCCTTCAGGCCGTGAGGGTGGATGAGCCCAGCGCCTCCCACTAGGTGTGGCCACTTCTCTCTGCAGACCCTCCTGCTCAGGAAGTCAGGGCCAGCCCTGCAGGACCTCCTGGTGTTAGAAAGTGCACGCGTTAGTGTACCTGCACATCTGTCTCCTAACCACCCAGAACAGGCCAGCTTCCTCGTCCACGTGGAGGTCTGCAGATGCTTCGCCTCTCAGACTGGAGTAACACACAGGCCACTGCGTGTGCAAGTCATCTACCCACACTGACACCAGCCTGGACATGGTCCCGCCCACACGGGCTGCCGCTGGATGTCCACCGGAAGTGTGTCCTGCCCATGTGTCAGCTCTGTGTGAAGGGGGAAAAGGTC